TTTAAATATAATGCCTCTTATTCTTGGTTTTAAATGCATTTTTAATTAATGTCCACTTGTATCCACTTGTATCTTCTAGTTCTTGTTTCACTTTTCATTCTGAAGAAGTGAGCTGGGTTGATTTTGTGATTTTGGGTTGTGTTTTGAAGAATTTTTCAAACCTGTACCAGGTCCCCAAGTCACCCATCTCAAGAGTATGAATATTCCTAGTAGAACAGGGCAGACAGGCAAAGGGCTAAAACCCATTAGTGAAAAGAAATTCTTCTAAAGCGATTAAAATGTTTTCAAATGATTGGGTCCATTAAAAGGGAAACAATCCTGCACTTGGAAGAAGAAAAGAATGAAATGAAAATCTAATTGACTAAAGTCGAATTGGCTTAAATAAAATACAATCCTCCATGGGAATCCATGAAGTGATTGAAGCCATTGGAGCTGATACTTCTAATCCCAACCATATCTTAAACATCGTCACAGGAATTGCCTCTTAAAGGTTTACAGGGCTCCTAGCTTATTTAAAGCCTTTAATGTAGGCGAATATTAAAGTCCACAAAATTGTGCCCATACGACTGTATGATGTGGTCACTGAAGATGAATTGGACCAGTATGATTTCAGTGAGGTGCAAATGCTGTTTTTAAGCATCAAGTGATATAAATGTAACGTGATGAAATATATGGGAATGAAAATGTTTTAACATGCATGATTAATTAAAGCAGGGTTCAGAGAAATTCAGACGCCATGCTGGACAGTATATGTGCTTGATTAGTTGAAGGTGAGCTGCACTGACATGCTGAGTGGTTGTATTTTGATCATGATCATGGCGTTCAGGTGACAATTTAGATGGTACTGTACAGTATGAGGCAGCAGCTTGAAATGTTTTGTCTTGCGGTGTCTTATATTGCAGACTGGAGTTCTTTACTGGATGATTTGACTGAGGGAAGCTGCTATCTTCTGGTAGCATGGCACATAGCACATGGCACATGTGTCATACGATTCTTCATTCGGAGGAACGAGCTTTATGTAGAATTGCAAAGAAAACCCAGTGTCCAAAGTGTCAATAAACGATTTTGTTGAACATGGATTTTTCTGGTTGAATTTTCTACTCTTTCCATTTTTTCTAAACAGTTGCACAAATAAGAGCGAGGTTGGGGGATAACGTAGGAAGTACTTGACTTTATTAACATGGCTTCGATAAAATGGAGCAGAGATGGGAAACACTGGATTGAGTGAATGCATGATTATAATGTTCCAGAAGGTTCTGTGGGTACTGTCAGGAGCGTAGGAGTTTCTGTGAACCAAGGAGACTATAACTCCTTGGTTTGGAAAAAAGTGTAGCAAACACTTATGATACTTTGCTTTGGAATCTTCCATCCTCTCAAAACCTTTGGGTTTTTGGAAAAATGGGGTGTCTGGATTTTCTCCCTTGTCTCTCATTTTCTAGAATTTACCCATATTCAATAAAGTGTGTGATTTTCTTCTGTATTTTTGCTCTCCTCTCTGGTGCATCGTCACTAAATAGTGTTTAAGCTACTGTACATGAGCTGAATGGTCTCCTCACATTAGTAACCTTCCTTATAATCAAGTCCCGGCTTTAGATGCTGCAACATTGGGTTCAGGCGAGGAGGTCTGACTTTCAAAACATTTGATAAAGGACTGAATTATAATCCAGTAAAAATCACAAGCTTCTTTCCAGACCAGACAGCACTTCAAAGTAGCAGTTACAAAACTTCTTCACATGGGAAAGATATGTTCACATTTCTTTTCTGTTTTAGGCCTCTCTGTAAATACAACAAGTTGTTTCCTGTAATAATAAAACAGTATACAAATGTTTGATGTAATGTGGTGATTTTGGCTTCCTACAAATACTGTTCATGCTTTTACTTTAGTTTCAGGAAATTGTCTCAAGCTTGCAGCATGACACTGTCTAACCTATTACTTACAGTGATTGCAGGCCTTCCAAATGCTTAAGGCAAACATTTTTGAGTCAAATCAGTACAAATGTGGTCCCAAAATAAGGTTTAGATGATGACACTAGAAACTGTTTAGAAAACAAAATGCTAAGAATTCTTACTGAACAACACAGCATTAGTGATGAAAGGATGCAGGGATGCACAGTTCAGTGAAGGTCTGAGATGAATTCGTGATGAAAAAGGTCATTTCTGGAGAACACAGTGATAAACACACACAAGGTGCATCCCCCACAGTGTCCAAAGTTCCAGCAGTGTTACAGGGAGTTATATACTGTAGGTCACCCTATGTTATTACCATGAATGGGTTTTTGAGCGAGCATAACCAATGTATTGGAATCATAGACAAATACTTCCACTTATTGCACGGTGTCTATTCCTGATAATGTTATTCCCATCTTTCAGTTATTTCTGAGATGTCACCTACCTCTACTGTTATTTTTGACGTCACATACAGCAGGTGTCTATTTAAAATGCACTCAAACTAGGTCAGGACTAATGATCCCAAACTAGAGTCAGATTACTTGACAACAGTACGTGTTGTCAGCCAAAACATTTGTAGCATTATGTTCTATACAGTAAGTCAGAGATCATAGGCATAATTCAGTAGCTAATCAAGGGTTAAGATCAGAAGTAAACCTGTTCATGAAATAGTTCGTGAAGTTACCTCTTGGTAACCACAACACTTCAAGTTCAGGCAAATATACAAAATTAAGTAAGTACTAATGACTATAATATGGTATGAGTCCTGAAGACATAGAAACAGACTTTGTTGTATATACAGTACATGTACATACAGGTATAGTTCTTAGTTTACTATTGTTCTTGTGCTCCTTGCCTGTATTTGTTCTCCTCCCTTGTCTGTGTGCAAGTGACAGTTTGGGTGTTTGTGGTTACAGTCTTGTACCTGCAGGAGCAGCAGCAGTCCTGGGATTAACAGAGCATACAAGAAGAAGGACTCAGCGATCTGATGGGCTTAAGTGAGTGGGGGCCTGTCCTACAGCAGAGAACATCTTTCTCACTCAAAGCTATTGCCTTTTTTGGGGAGATAAACAGGGGCAGGCATACAGTACTCCATTTTTGCAGACTTCAGGTTCTGGTGAACTACAGTGTTAGCTCTTTCTCTCAAACCTGTTTTTTGGTTTTTCCTTGCATAGAGTACAAGCGGCACAAACTCTGCTTATTTAAAAGAGGCTCTTATTTTCAAATTTTTCCATATGCTCCAGTATGTCTTGGAGGCTGTATAACAATAGGTAGGAATGGAAGTTAAGTCTGAGTATACAGTAATTTCAAGGACTCACAAAATACTGTACTACATTGATCAGTTCAACACATTGCCAATTTAAAGGCCTCTAAAATTGTTAGTGCACAACCCAGGAAACTCTTTGCTATACTTTGCACCAGTCAAGAATAATCATATTAAAAAGGTCATTGTATAAAAGTAAATATAACTTCTTAACCTGACACACCAGGCCTCAATTCAAATTTCTATTTGCTGTAGTTTGCAAAATTTGTGGCTTTGCTAATTACTGTACTTCCACAAAAAATGTCTTTCAAAAATTGTCCTGGGGCGTCAGCTGAAAATGCATTCTGCATTAAGTAAGCATTTCAGTTTTTCAGAGTCAACACAATAAAATTAATAAATTCTGATTTGATGCACGATCAATACCTGCTTGTCAGATGTACAAGTCTTCAGGAAAATGGAGTTACAACAGGTACAAAACATTCCTAAGAAAAGAAAAATTACACTTAGAAATGTCGCTGCTATAAACACTTCTCCAGAAGAAAGAATAGAAACTGGAACAGTACAACATTCTATGTTGTGTTTTGTTTGCTCACTTTGATTTTAAAATTGGAATCTAGAGTCAAATTAGAAACTTCAACAGAATGACGTTTCAGATCCTTATACAGTAGGTAGTGCTTGAACAGTACACTATGTATAAAAGATAAATGGATTCCTCACTTGGCTTTAGCTGGGAGTTTATCCTTCCTAGACATACGGTCAAATGCTGATCTGTGATGCGATGGAAATAAGCAAGCTGAATCTTATAAATAGATTTTGACTCTGAGCAGGTGCAGAAAAGAAGTCCATCTCTTCATTAACTGCAAAAACCACAGCTACAGAATGGACAGAATTATTTTCAGGCCAGGGATCGGATCATATTTCAAAAAGGCTGTCAGAAGAGACTCAGTGCCGTGAATTATATAGCAAGCATTATCCAATGAGTGATAAAACAGGGCAAGGTTATTTGAAAATGGAGAAGTGAATAAAAAAATTCCTTCTGGGCAACTTATACACCGTGGAAATATTTCAAAATATGTTGTTTAATCAATTTACAGACAAAGCAGCTTTTCAATATTTCTCAAACAGAGCTCAAGATTAATATGCTTATGCCTCACCTATCTGAAATGGAACACTGTGTGGTCTTCATGTTGTGTGGCACAACATCTGCTGGTTGTAGCTTGTTTGCTGGTTGTTCTTTAGCCAAGGGACTTCAGAAAGCCCATTACCGATTAGGCACAAGAATCTGGACTGATTGAATAAAAATATACAAAATATACACAAATGCAGATGGCAAATCCATACAGTACAGTATGTGAGTAACACAGCATGTGAATAAATGCCTCATCTGTATCTATCTGAATTACGAATCTGTTATCTGTTACGAACCCTCCACTGGCCGTACACAGATTTTACTTCTGTAAATGCAAAAAAGAAGATAATTTTAAAGGTGTTGCAGGTGTTGAAAAGTTGTACATCCAAAATTGTAGATCACAGAGAAGCCATATATGACAGGTGTCATAATTCCTATAGGAAAATAGTTTTTTTTTTATACAGCACACACAGGATTAATATTTTTGTTTTGGTTTTTCAACCTATATAAATACTCTCTACATCAGGACTTGCTGCCATGGAAAAGACATCTTCTAAATATATTTGAAGTATTAGTAGCAGCAAAGAGTGCAAAGATAGGAAAACAAACTACAGGATCCCTCCTACAGAAAGCAAAGCAACATGTTAATTTATGTATTTTATTTATATAAAAAGGAAGTAATCATTACAGTCCCTCTTTAATAAAGAATATTTACAGTTGCATCCAGCCAGACCAAAATAGTTCTGAATCCATCAAGCTTCCAATATTGTGCTTAGATACATCAGCGAAGAAAATCTCATATAAAAATACTATACAGAGAATACATCTTTAATATTACACATTTAAAAATACACATTAATATTAATGCATACATATCATTCAAAATGCATAGGGATGGAAACAAAGAGGCAAATTTAAAGCCTTAAAACGCTTGAGTAAAAACCAGAAGCATGACTCCAGGCTTCCTTAGAATATTGCATATAAAACATTTAGCAATACCTTTCGGTGTCAAATATTATGGCACATTAATATACTTACATACAACAGATCAGGTACTGAACACTTAAAAAATACCAAAGGTTCTAGGTAAAAACAATACTTCATCTCTAGTGAATGAATTAAAAATACGCAGTCAACTTATCACTCAGCTCGGCTTTGTGTCAGAGCCTATAATTTAAACGAAACAGAAATGCATCCTTACAAATAGAAACTGATCTGGGTCGTTTTTAAAGGATCTGATTTTGTTGCGGATTTGAGCAATTACGTAAGAGCTTAAAAAGATTCCAGAGGCAGAAAAAGAGCATTCCGACAGAACACTGAGAGAAAGCTCTTAGCAAGTTTACATCTGAACGAAACAGATTGTGTTCTGTTCAGCATTCTCAAAAATCTGAGTGAACAAAAGCAGCTTTCTATTTTATGGTAAAAAGATCTTTCTTGTGCGTTTCAGCAAGGACACAAAGAGACCCGAGGGCAGGCAGATCATACTTACTAATCCACTGATAATTCTATTTAGTTATTTGGCAGCATGAATGGAAGTAAATGAAATACAGTGTCAAAAATAGAAAATAGTGTGGTCAAGTATGCCCAGACTACACAAAAAGGCCTATAACACAATTAAAGTGAAAAGAAACCAATTGGAAATACATTAAAAACATCCACAGATTTTCTCCTACTGGTAACAAATTACTAATACTAAGGTGGCTTTTTTTAGAACTGCTTTTTCCTGGATAGTTCGATGTCTAAGTTTTTTTTCTGTTATGGCACTGTGTAAAAGGTCAGTCTGTTATTACAAGCTACAAAGTTCGTGAGGGTAAAAATTCTGCTTTTTGGTCAGGATTCCACTCTTGAACTATCCATCAATTGGCTTAAGAAAAACAGTTTTTTTCTAGAACATGGGGCAAAGTGAAAAAAATCAATGGACTGCAGCTATAAAAACAGCTTGCAAATGAATTGCTTCCTTGACAAATACTGTAAATAACAATAGCTCTATGGGATTTTAAAAATGGAATAGAAAGTTAATGGATAATAGACTGCTGGGGTCACTTTCACCAGTGCAATCATCTTTCAATAAAGGCCCCCCTCTTAAAAACTCTGCCAGTAAACAAAAAAAAAAAGAAGAATTACTCCAAAACTGTTTGTTTAGCCTTATCTTATTTGTATAGGTCACATAGTCATAAGGCTTTAAACTCTAGTTACCTTTAATCCTGACACATGGTAAAAACTGCAGACTGACAAATTACACAAACATCAAAAGCACAACAAATAAGAAAAGGAATGGCATTTTATATGTACAGTACATAATACATTGAAAAAGTTACAAAATTGCAGCACCATATGTGGTAAAAAGCACGCATGCTACATACAATGAAAGTAGCAGATGGTTCCTGTAAGAAAGAAAACAAAAGTACTGGAAGTGAACTAACATTTTGTTGCATGTGCAAAGTCCATTTATAAGAGTCCACTGATTGTGAACAAGAATGTAAAAACAAAACTGTGTGCTAAAACTGTGCTCAGAGAAGTAATTTTTCAAAGCAGTTTTGCTTACCTCAGTTTGTTTCCTGAAGTGGTTATGTACTGTATATTAAAAATAAAACATAAAACAACATATGGAAAACTGTACCACCATCTACAGGCGAAGCTTAAGAATTCAACGATTAATGCAATGGAAAAGTAGAGATATTGGTGAAGTGGCCCCATTAAAATACCCCATAAATCAATCAAACCATCTTCTGTAATACCAAATGAAAAGGGGAAGAACCAGGACAGAGACTATACTCCTGTGACATCAAAGGTGTATGATCAGTCTCGTACTGAAGCTTGGTGGTACAGAATGAATTAAAAGAAACCAAGGGAAAGAGTGGGGAATAGCGAACACTACAGTGCACAAAATGAGGAGTTTCAGTCATGAAACACCAACACAAAATACAACTACAAAGAACTACAAAGAGCTGTGCAGTACTGATTGGAGTAGTGATATAATGGATAACGGTAATCAGGGGAGAGTGGCATTCTAAATGTAAATATGAATAAAGGGAACAGGAAAGTGGAAAGATCTGGAAACCTAAGGAAAAATATGTTTTTGTCCTCAGTTTCTAACATTTATTTATTCTGTGAAGTGAAATTCCTGCTTTGCTTGATGTGCAATAGAATCAATGACAAAACACCAAAGAGCATATCCAAAGATGCCCTAAGGGGAATAAAGTTAAAGGAAAATCATTGAAACCTCAACCAAAACATCTCCTGACCTCAACCAAAACAGAACTTTTAAGGGAAAGAAAACATTTTTGAGTCAGGCAGTACCTGTTGTTTTTAACTTTTGGCTCCAAATTTATTAAAGGCAGGTTCTCTCTTGCATGTTTGGTGCTCGCTTGCTCTTTATGCTGTGTGCTTTTGTTGGCTGCAGTGCAGCGCTTCTTGCCAAAGTAATTTGGGAGAATAATAGGATTCCAGGATCAAGACTCTTTTTTGAAGTGTGAGACTACACAGTAGAAAGTTACGTGCTGAGGGAAAAACAACAAACAAACAAAGAAACGCAAAAAGGAACCTTTCTCTGCCAGCAGCAGGGAAGTACAGTAGGAAGTGAAGTGCTTTTCCTGAACTCTTTTCAGAGGTCCATTGTGCTGGTCTTGTTTTCCCTGTTCCCGGAGTGCTTGCCCTGTAGTTCCCCAGAATCTTCTTCCCCCTGCATGTGTGTGGACTGAGCCAAAGGGTTTCGGCTGATCACCAGCTCGAGTTTGTCACCCGCCTCCGTGATCAGAGGCACGGCCAGGCAACAGTCGAAGTCCCTTGTGCGGACGTGGTTCACCTTTGGGGACCAAAATCACAGCGCGGTGTTAATTTTCTAAGTCGTCTAAGGACTTATTTTCAGCTACTGTAGGGTCCGTTGTGTCACTCTTTACCAGGACGGACGCTATCTAATGCTTTTTTATATAGCACTTCTGAAATCTCAAATCTCACCATTCAGATGAGAAGGAAAATGTCCAAGGAAGTCTGACAGTACTTTTACACTGAAAGTCACAAGGACAGCCACAAAGGCCATGTTGCTCAGAAAACCAATAATACCCAATACCTCTGGTTTTAGTCTATTCCAATAGGGAATCAGAACAGACTAAAACCAGAGATCTCTGGACTCACTGTTTCAACCTGTACTCATTACAGAAGCCTTGGTTATTGGATGAGGCACAAAAGCCCAGTTTTATATTTTGTAAGCATTCCTGTGGATTTTTAATTTGTTGTCTAGCTTTTCCTGCATCAAGATACCAAAAAACAACAAAATTATCTACATTTATTTAATGTGTTATTATACAGTATCAGACATTATCATAGTTTATGTACATGTAGTTAAAGAGTGTCAAAGTGATTCCTTCCCTTTGACTTTCTGAAGATGAGGCTCTGGTAAGGTGATCCTGCTACTGGAGTTCAATAAGTCCATGCAGCTGGCGAGAATTAACATCACTTCTATTTGAGTTTGTGATGTTACAGTTTGTCAACTTTTAATTGTTGAATCCACAAACAATCAGAATGTTTATTGAACATTCACATTTTATTTTGAATGGGCTGTCTTTTTTCTTGCCAAAATGGGCTTTCAAATATGTATTTTATAGAACTGGATCTTATTAAATACAGCTTAAGCTAAGCAGATCCATATTTTTCGTCTTTGGTTTGAAGTTACTAAATATTTTTTATTTCCTCCAGATCATAATTAAGATAAAGCAATTGAGGAAATTGGAAACAGAGGTCACATTTGATATGAATATGGATCTGATTAGGCTGAACCACATTTAAATAAATATTGTGAAAGCTTAACACATGCTGAAATTTCCTGGATTTCCTAAGCTATAATGTATACAATGTATTGGGACTTCTATCCGTACATAGATTTAACAAATTTGGCAAAGTATACACACAAAAATAGTTAAGCTGATAAACTGAGGACCTCTGCTACTTTGTGAAGCTTTATTAATGTACAACATTCTACAAGATAAATTTTGCTTTCACTTATAGTGGCTTCATTTATTGATGTAAGAAATTAATTTGAAGAAGTATTACACTGCTTTAGCACAGTTATATTTTCAAAATGTCATATTGATCGTCATAGTGTTTTTTTGTACGGACGTAATAATTGTCAACAACTCCAATATGATTGTCTATCCTTGTGCCCTGCAACCTCCATTTACTTGTGGCAAAGCTTTTCAAAGACCTCCATCTCCTTGTTCATTTTCACTTTTTGTTCAACCGCTTTGAATTTACGGTGTCTGTTGGGAAAATTTGGCAGAATGTTAATAATAAGGTCATACAACATGGGCATGAGCTTACTCTATGTGCGTTCCCATGTAGACCATAGTATTCATTTTTGAATGATTTATAATCCAGTTGTGTATTAGACCTTGAGGAGAGGACAAATATATATGACTTGTAGCAGACGTAACACACATTTGGAATAAAAATATAGAGGTCAGAAGTCTCAAACAATAACTGTACATAGAGTTCTTACACAGGAAAGGTAGGAGGCTAGATACATTCTACGAGTATATCCTTTCAAATCACAAAGACAAAGCAGTGGAACTACAATACTAAATTTGAATCAGATTGTAACCAAGATAATGAGTGGAGAAGCCCCTAAACATGCCACTGAGCAGGTGAAAGAGGAACATACAGTATGCCAGAAGGAGCACAGTTTGGCACTGGATAAAGAATTTGTATTACCTTAGGATGAGTCTGTTTTATTAACTTATACAGCTGCTAGCGCTAAACCCCACCCTCCCTTTTCTTGCAGCACTTGCAGGCTGATCAAGGGAGTGCTTGTGGTTGCTGCATCATCTGACTCAAGCCCCTCAAGCGAAGTAACACACTGACAAGAACAAGTTAAGGGACAGTGATGTGTCTTTCAGCAACAAAACATTAAGATTCAAAATCTCTCAAAAGCAGGTAACGGGGCTCCAAAATTAGACTTGTTATATGATAACTGTGAATGGCAAATTATCACAGGAATTTGTAGGAGTTCTGGGTGATCTGAAAGAGCACTCCCAACCCTTTATGCTGCAGATAGCGTGGGAAGAGAGGAGTTTTGAAATTTACTTTAGTAGCTGTCAGGATGTTAAAAGGAAATCAGAATGACGCACAAGGTCAAGTTCTTAGCCATGAGGGTGTGTTTCTGCTCTACTCTGTGGCTGGTGTTGGTTAAGTTGTCTTTTCTCTATGCAAAGACCACTGATTTTAGTCCATCAAAGCTCTGTAGGATGAAACGCCCTCAGCCAGATACCTGTAGAATCCTGTCGTACGGTTTCAGCCCCCCACGGTCAGCTGGTCCATCAGGACGGATCATGTTCACATAAACTCCTTTCTCCAGGAACCCATCAGACACACTGAAGCCAAAGTCATCACTTTCAGGGTCCTTCATGATTGTCACCTGAAACAAGAAACCGAAACCTCCAGTATACCACTGCAGGCTGTTAGGCAGCCTTTGACGTGTACTTGTTCATTTAATCTTGATCTAAAGCATACAAAGGGATTAAATGCTCATCAGAGGAGTTTGTTGTTGCAGCAATTTTAAGTTTTTGTACTTTTATTCCAACAAAGATGTTAAAGTTTCTGAAATGTATTTCCTAGGCATAATAGAAGTGTAAATATCCAATCATGTACAAACAGTATTTTGTACATTAAGATTTTGAAATCATACAGTAAATAGCACTTAGTGGGATTGACTACTTGGGACCAACATTTGATTTAAGTAATGCACAACGTGCTTAAACGTGGTGAGGATGATATGCAAAATTTTACTGTGGCACTGCAGCTCATTTCAGTCACAGTACCTGAGCACCTGGGTATAGTGGATTTCCTGGGATACTACTACTTGGCTCAGTCAAACACATCCTACCTGAGGTCTGCAGTGAGGTCCTGACTCTCTTTATGACTCTGGGTGGCACAGACAGTGAGTATTATCATGGGTGTTCTTCTCAAATAAAATAATGTCCTCTTTGAACACACAACCATTGCTTTGGATAGGTTAAACAGTTTCTATCCAAACACCTTTTAGAACAACTACAGTACCAAAAGCAGAGTAAGTTTGGAATACACATCTGACTCCCTCTACATCTGGACAACGTTCTGTCACAGGCAGGTTTGTTTGAGCTCTCTGATTCACATGGTTGCTACACAAAAGAATCATTTGCAAAATGATTCATTAATGTGACACATCTTACTGGTAGGAGGAGATATGTGCAGCAACGAGAAATCTCAGGTATAAGCAATGACCTTTGGTGTTGGCTGCTACCTTTAGCCCAGTTTAGCCCAGGGTTTTCACTGTCTACCAGGACACACACCTTGTGCAGCTCTAGTGGTGTTGGAGACATGATCTCCTGAATCTCCTCTTTGATCCTCCGGGACTCCCAGGTCTTCTCAGATCCTCGGCTTGAAGTTTTGTTCTTTCCACTGTCATGGAGAAGAGTAGCTTTTCTGACTGGACTCATTCCAGGCTGGTTGATAGAATCTACAGGTATATGTGACTTATTTCCATCGACACCTAAACTGAGTGCACTTCCGGTCATTATTGAGGCCTGTAAGGAAAAAGCCAGATAATCTGTATAACATAACATTGAAAACAAATTACAACCTTTTATTAACTGACCCACGGAAGGGCTAATGATTGACAGCTCAATTGTATGACTAAAACTACAGCATGTCTGTCTGCTGCAATGACAATAAAAGCTAATGTGATATTTTTCATAGATAAATACAGGTAAAGTTATACAGCAGCAATAATTATACTGAAAGGTAATAAAATAAAAATACCAGTGTATAGCAACTACAGTAATAACAATTATATGAATTGTGTTGGATTAGTATGTCAAAATTCAATCACAGGCATGACTGTGTATAATTGTTCATTCAAATGTCTCGAATTAAACTGCCATGTCTAGAACAAGCAACACATAGAAACACTGGCTGAGACTCCCCCAAAGGTTAGTAACAACCCGTCTTCTGCAGAGCAGGTGAAAACTTGTGAAATACATCATCCTTCTGCTTCGTATTTTTGTGACTCAGAGTACTTCTGCAGTAAAATGAGCACCACCCAAATCACAGTGGAATCTTCCAGTTCCACCACAGCACAATCTCGGCTGTGATGTAAACAGCAGTATTGGGACTGAGCATCTGCTTGTCTGTGCACCATGCAAAAACCCATGCTGCTGTGCTGGCTGGCTTTTGTACATTCTGTGCTCCTGGGTTTGCCACAGTTGTATTTTCTCTGTCAGGAATGCTCATTTTACTATGAAAGGAATCTGCAAATGACAGTGCTTTTAAAGCATTTATGATTTATATTTATGCCAATCAAAATATATTTATAATTTTGAAAGTTCAATTTTCTAAAAAAAAAAAGCCAAGTATGAACCAGAACGTAAACAGAGTGGGCCTGTTTATGTATCTCCGGTATCTCGTCATTCAACAGCAGCAGTTACGCAAATATGCAAACCAGTTTTCTGGAAGGACAACCAGGGAAAGAGAGAATTTACCTCAATCTCCCTTAGGAGCTCTGACTGCCCACAAGTTTCTAAGTCCTCCAAAGCCTGGCACCAAAAACTGTCCTCATGGTCCAGATTGAGTCCATCATGGTGCTGGTGGCTGACATATCTGTTTCAATGCAGGAACCAAAAAATGTGAGCAATCCACTTGAGAGGGACTGGCAAAAGACTCAAGAGACAGAGAGCCGCCCATTGCTACGGCGGAGGCTGCGCAACTTGCCGGGATGTGTGTGCGTGCTGCGGTGAAAGGGGGGGGTTTCTTCACACAGTCAGTTCTAGCTTATGAGGGAGAGCTTTTTTTGCAGCCAAAAGACCAGCATCCTTAAGAACCAAGAAAACCTTCATGCAGTTACTTCAAAAATTGAGTAACAACAGGCCTCCCCAGCTAGGCATTTGGTGCAGTGAAGTGAAGGTCAGGAAAAAAACCCCAAAAACAACAAACGAAAAGAACTTAAGAGTCCTTGGGACGATTGAAGGAGGCCTTTTTTTTAGGAAAACTTGGTGAAACAGAGAAGCGACAGAAGGATGTGTTTATGGCTAAAAAACAGTAGCCTCTCAGGCTGTTAGTACAAAGGCAGATGGGACAAAGAGTTTCAGATCTGAGAGACAGAACACCTGAGAAGAGAAGAAAAAAATATATACACACAAGATAACAAGACAATATGAGAGAATGGAACATTACAAAAGAGGTTTCCCTCTGATTATGAATTTCTTATGTAAAACAATAAAAAACATGTCATCAATGATTGATTTCTAATTTATTAGCTAGTTAACTACAGTACATACTGTACTGCAGGTAATTGCAACCATTGTGATCTGATTATATTGCATTATGAAACTAAGACCAACTAATTCTGTTAGACACAGTTGCTGTACTTTCCAAAATTAGCAAATTCATTTTTAAATCTGAAATTAAAAATCTAAACTATTTGCCACTTTCATAAACTCACAGTAAACAAAAACTGTTTGATCAATTTGCAATCAAAAAGGCAAAAGGACAATCAGATCTTCTGTTAAAGATCTTTAACTCCAGTAAAGAAATACAGTAGATAAGTAAATAATCATATTGGTTCTTATTTAGCTTCCATTCTGTTTTGATTATGTAGTGTATCTGCATTTTATATATCGGGCTTTAGTAAAATCAATTGAAAACATCCAAAACTGCTTTAAAATGCCCACAGAGCAGAAGCAAAATGGGTCTATTTAAGCAAACCAGGAGACTGATTTTTTTTTTCACATATTAGTCTGACTGGCCCAAACTGACATCACTTACAGTACATGTTGATGGAGCAATGAGTATTAATATGTCTTTGACACACTAAAAAGCAAAATGCTAATTCGATTTACAGACAACAAAAATGACATAACAATGCACCATCAGTGAAAACTACAATACAAGACAGATACAAAATAAATTATAATCAATGTAAGAGTGAATATCTCCCTTGGTAGGCGCAAAAGGTTCATTCCAAGCTTTAGTTCCAAGAATTAAAATTGTTGAGTGGCCACAGTTTCTTCCCCCAATCTATATTTGTTTCACATACTATTTACCACCAAAAAGAGTGGTTACATAATGTTTCGAGTCTCATGTGAATTTCACTCTTCATTTATTAATATCATTTTAAAAGGAAGCACAACAATTCACCCATGACTTCAAACAACCACAAGCATTTGCAATATCTGTGAAAATCTCTTGTTCTATACGATTAATACATGATTATATGGGAGCTACTTGCATTGTGGCTAAGTGCTTAATTTACTGTATTTTGATACTTTATTACTTTCCTACTTTGTTTTGCTGTTCATTCTCCTTGCAAAACGCCCAGCTTATGGAAGTGATTTCAGGCTGTATTATCCAAATGCATAAAGGAGGAGCCAATTTAAAAGTGGTGGGCTTCGGAGCGGTTTGTAAGCAATTTGTTGAAAAGATTCTTGACATATTTTGGTTAGAATACATTCTTGAGGGCTACAGTTTGAAACAAAGATATTATGGCACCAGCATTATTCTGGTGAGTTAAAGGCAAATCAAAGAATTACAGAGTTTATTAAGGATACACTATTAAGCACCAAAATCCTGCTTTTGGAAAGGATCAACAGATCGTGCATTTTTATGATGACTTCTATAGACTTTACATATACATAGATAAATAGCTTAAGTTATATTGTTAATGCATCTCATGTAAAATAAGAAAAAAATAAATTTAAATTACACTATAGATTAAAAGCTAATTTGTAGCTAATGAATCACATCAAATCTAATCATCTGCATGGTAGGCGTCTCTTGTCATTTTCATTTGTTCCTTGCTACACGGCTGCTCATTTTCAAATCACAAATGATAACAACTGAATACCTAAAACCATTCTTTTAAGTGTACTAATTTTTCTGAGCTTACTATAGAGAGAAAAACTAAAGGACCCACAAGGCCACCATACCAAACGGGTCTTTCTTTGGACACCTCCGAAATACCCGAGTCAATGAGAGTTTGTACCTGAATTTCCACGGTAACATTCTTACCCCGTAGTCTTGTCCCAGTCATCCTCACTGAAGCCCCCATCAGCGAAGGGGTAGTTCTTCCGGCGATTAGTGGGAGGGGTGCTGTTCCGGTGCTTGGTGTTCCTCCACTCATGGGGGTGTAGTGCAATTCCAGCTGCTGCCTGATGGATATATGTTCCTAGACCAGAAGGAGGAATAAAGCACATCTTTGGATTTAGCAAGGCACACCTGCTTTGTTTCTCTTTTCATCTCTTGGAGAATCACTACACCCACAATCCAGACCCTGTACACAGACTCAAGTGCTGACATACTGAATTTGACCACTACAACAGACCGTATTCAATCAGGTAGCTAAGGCAAGATCCAGCCTTTCAGGATGAGATAGGACATTCAATCCTAACTTAACTGAAGAAATTCCATGTTAAACTGGTAAAACACTTTTCTAAGGCTTTATAAAATAATGTTTATAGGTGACATGAAAAATATGAAAGATTACTCCTACCCTGGGCATATATTTTCTTTTACAGAAACCGTGCCATCAGCAACAGAGCCACTCAGTAAAATTAAGAATGGAAAGCCTGCACCTTGACTACCATAGCCAGCATCGATGCCCGAACCATCCCAGGATTCCAGTGCGCTGTCTACACTAGGAATGGTGGTGGAATAGATCTCGGACAGCTTGCTGGTCTTCTGGGAGTCTGTCATCTCATCTTCAGGGTCACTCAGATCATTTATGACCCCAGATTTCTTCTTGGTGCCTGGCTCTGTGACATGATCAACAGTGCTGCTTTAAAATCATGTTCAAGACCCGCTGACCAGAATAAAGAGAACTGCTTATTCTTTGCAGTTAAAGCATACAAAAGAACCAATTCAAATTCTCTTTCTTTTCTCTTTCTATAAAAATGTCCTTTGTATTCTGTCTCATCCTGCTGTCCTACACAATAGGTAGACAGGGCAGGGCTCCAAGCATGAAAACCAGCAATAAAAAAGATTAAGGAGTTTCTCTCTACCCAGATGCTGATTAAAATTCAGTTATTATAGTCAGCTGGTCTTGATTTTCATTAAGCCTCTATCTGGGTGGTAATGTTTTTGAAGACATTATTTAGTGTATAAATTCCAGGGGATAATGAATTTGTTCTATTTATGTTAAGGAAAAGCCAGATGGCCCAAGGACAAGAACTGATCCAGGAACTGCTTTTGTGTCCACTGCATTATCCACTGTGGCCACTACCTGGTGCTGGATAACATAAATGCCAAATACCACACCACCAATAAATACTGTCAACGAAATAAACCCATTACCACAATCCAACAGAACTATAATTTATTTTGCCCTTGGCCACGGTTACAAAAAATTGATTTTCAAAGGCATGTGGTAGCATCAATTTTAAGGAACACATTTTAGCTTTGAAACAGAATTAAAAGGACTCATCTGGAAAACCTTGGAACTACAGAACAACAATGTAACTGTAGACCATTCGCCTGCATATTCTGCTCCTGTTAAAATAGCAGCTCTGCTTGTGCATTCGGAGGTTTAATACAGTCAATGAGTCAAGAGATACAAACTATAGTAGATTTGCAGATTTGATATGTTTAGCAATAATTGGCCCAATTAAGTCATGCAGAGCGCAGTTGGAATAAAAAAAAACAGAAGACACTGTGTCTTTGCAAAACCAGATTTTAGACGTGTGAAATAAAACTAATATTTCAGAACAGCAACAATTGTCAACAAAAAGCAAAAAACTTAATGAATGATCCCTACACAGCAATTGCCTTCAGAAGCCCTACGGCAGTCTTCTAGAGCTCCCTCAGAACTGTGGTGCTTTGCACACTTACTATCTACTTGCTTCTTGATCTTGAGGGTGACCGTCTCTCCTGCCATCTGGAGCAGATGAATTGCCTCGCTCAGCGGTTTCCCTTTCAGGCTAACATTATTGATGGCCAAAATCCTGTCTCCTATGTGGATTGCTCCAGTCCTTTAAACAAAAACAGAGGTACGAGTAAGTGAAATTCCTGCATGCTTCCTGAACAATAACAAGGTCTGAATTGAGATAACAGTGTTGGGGGTATGCGGAGAGTTTTAAATATTTTAAGTGTCTCAAGGTCATGCATCAGAAACCCTGTCAGGGCATCTAGTGCTGTGATAAAGTTGTCTCCTCTCCAGAGGTGATGTTTCTGCTTTTTTTTTCCACAATAAGAAAAGAACAGGACAGGACACTGTTTTAATGTCTCTCGTGTACAGTATATACTGTACGCATCACAATGCTAAGACTGCCCACAATTTGTTTAAACATTTTTGATTTCATGATGCATTCCATCAGGTCTTCCTTTCAAAGTGAGACACACTTAAGGTGATGGAAAAAAAAAAGTTATACCTGCCCTCTTCATCAAAATGTTTTTGATGCTTTTGAATTAAAGCAGTGAATGTCTTGTTTTATTTTAAACATTTGTTTTCACTTACATTTAATTTAATAGAAGGTTGCCAATTTCTTCACCATTTATGCTCTTTGAATTTGGATTCACCTTATTCAACTCACTCCTAAACCTCCTACTGGAACCCAAGAAAGAGAATTTAACCTCACATCCTCTTAAAAGTGCAATTTAAAGTCATTGGCTTCTTGGCTTGAGTGTGAACAGTGGGCCTTGCTCAACAAGGGATTCCTGTTTTTACTCCGACTTACAGGTAACCCAAACACTGAAGGAACATTTTTATACAGTAAATTTGAGACACCCCCTCTTTTCACTCACTCTCTTCTCCCAGCTGTCTTTCTGGAGTTTCCCATAGTGTGCTAGTGAATAGAAATGCATGAAAGAATTGCCAAAACTGGGATAACAAAAAGTTGCTGAAAATGATTGACCTGAGAAAAGATTACGCTGGTTATCTGTCAAGATATTTTGATTAAACAATGAAGTGAAAATTACAATTTTAACTGAAAGAGTTTCAATGGAAATGTGTGAATTCCTTTCTTCTCTCTCCAGGTAAATTACTGTATTCATCTGTTATTTCTTTCAGTACATTGCTGGTTAATCATGATCGCCAGACTTGACCATCTGTTCACCAATTTGAAGTGTTAAAAACTTCAGTCAGGTTCATCGTAACACACTCCCGAGAAAATAAAATACAAATGATCTTTTCAGGCAGCTCTGCTATTGGAACAGCTCGGATTTTAAGCAACAGCCTTCAGAATAAAGAGCAAGTGTTGGTCTCTAAGAGGGGTTTTTAAAGGAATAGTCAGTCAGAGACCTGAAGCATTTTTACTTTCACCAGGTAAAGTCTTTGCTTCAGAAGAAAAAAATAATAATATACTGACATTTTTTTTGATGAAACAGAATGCCTTTCTTTGTTCATTAAAATAGAATTTTACTCAGAAACAGACTGTTTTAACTTCAAAGTTTCTTGACAAAATGACTAGAGGAAAGAAGATATGCTTTTGCAGGAACACATAGCTTACCAGAAAGTGCAAAATTATTAAAGTTCTTTTACAGCTACACAACAAAAACTGAACAATTTGAAAACAGGGAAATTGGGTACTGGGTACAGTTCTTGTTTTTCTTCTTGTCTTGGAAATCAGATAAAAAATGCACACAGTAGACTATCACAAAGAAGATTCCTCAGTGTGAGAATGATGGTATGTGTATGTAAAAGTTAAGTTGATATAATGTACTGTATACATTACTACCTCCAAATCTACTGTATTTGCTAATAAACTAAAGAAAAAAGTAAAATAGCTTTCTGAACTGTTCACTAGGTGGCAGGCTTCTCAAAGCTATGTGCAGTAGAATATTAACGCCTTCATCTTCTTAATGTTGTGCATAAAGTAATGTATGTACAAATATGAATAATACAAAGAAAACACCAGTTTTTGTCCTGTAAAAAAAACAATCTCAGAGTGACAAATAGATCATTTCACTATTAACACAGTATACAGTTTTATAGAGTTTATAGCAAAAGCTCTGGAGAAAGATGAAGCTCAGCTCTTAAATTTTTTTTTATACAACTCAATCATACTTGTCTGTATCTTCCACCTTGTTCAAATTATAACCTATTTAAAAGTTTAACTGCAAGAATAAAGATTACTTTAGAAACACCGTGCTCCTTTGAGAGCTCAGTCTTTTCTCATTAGTGATGTTCTTCCTGGAGATTCTGGTAAAGAGAGTTATATTCATTTATAAAAAACATTTTTAAATCTAATTCGAAAAGAGCAACCATCCTAACAGTTACCATGCTTACCCTTACACACTTCACTATACATATAATTAAAGTAAATGGACATTTGGAACTTCTAGGATAGTTAACCTAGTACTGTCCACTCATAATTTTAATTAAGACGCACATACTGTAGATGGATTTTATGTTATACTGAATGTACTGTAGCAACTGCGAGTTAATAATGTTAATAAATAATGCTTCAAAGTCAGAGAGATTCTCCAGTGAGCTAAAACAACTGACATAAAAGACATGTGTCTATGAAGAGTGTGCTTATCAATAGGACCAGGAAAGATGACATCAGAAAAAAAAACACGTTCATAGTGTTTCCCACTCTTTGTGCCATGGATTAACTAATTTGTTTCTTTGCTTTTTGCAAGTTTAGAAAAATACTAATAAAACGTGTTACTGCCGACGGGCATATAGAAAATAACTCCCATAGTCCCAGTCCCATAGTGTTGGATATCACAACATGCTGAAGATTGATTTTAAATGGACTACAAAAGAAGAGATTCAATTATCAAGAAACAAGACCATTTTCTGCAGTCTAAAGCTTTTGTGTTGCAGTGGCTGGAGACACTAGAGGGAGCTGACTGCACAAAGAAGTCTACTGTTCTTGTAGCTTTCCTAATACAGTATCTCACCTTTCAGCCAGCCCTCTCCTGGTTAAGCCAGAAATGACAATGGGGTCAAAGGGCTCTTCAGTCCCAGAGATGGTGATTCCCAGAGGGCCCCCATATCTCTTCAGCTCCACAGTGTAGATTATTGAGCCAGTCATCTCCTGTTCATCTAATACAGGGTAAAGCAAACAGAGGAGGGTCTGATATTTAGTGCATTACAGCACCATTGAATTGAAGAAAATCATTATTTTAATTGCCACAATTCTGAAAATGACACATTGCATGTAATGTACTTACTGTAGCATACAAGTACAAATATTGTACTGTCTGCAACTTGTTAAACAGTTTGAAGAACACAAAAAGGGCAAAGTTAAGAAAGGTGCTTAATTCACCAGCTTTAAAACCATCACAGCTTAAGGTAAAATCCAGTTAAAGTAGGTCACCAGTGAAGGAAGTCAGGCGGTCCATACTAAGCAGATCCTTTCTTTTTAAAACATTCCAGGTCAGGCATGACAACTTCAAAATGTAAAAAAAAAAGTGTAATAAAAAGCAAGATTGCAGAGGCCTACTGTTCAGTCATCTCCTAGTCTGATTGAAGAGAAGCACTTTATACCAAATCTGCCGACACAGATTTTAGGATTTTATTTGATTTTTTTTTTTTTGCAAAGTAGAGTGCTGAGGAAAGAGGATTGGATGGTGTAGCTTCAAAGAGTGTCACATCAGTGTTCAGAACATCTAAAAGCTTATCTCACACATGCATTAGCAGAAGACTTAAAAAATCAAAATCAAAATAAAAGGTGAAGCTATCAGATGGTCACAAAGCTGCATCACTAGATAGCTCTACCAGTGTGATGATTTCAGATAGCATTCCTTCCAGGGGAGCATCAACAACAACAACAACAAAAAAGCAATTAAAATCTAGGAAACTTGCTACTCAACTCAAAAACAAATCTTGATTCTAAAACTTACAAGACATATATGACCATGCAAACTTGGTTGAATGCATATTTAAAACCGGTGATGACTGATCCCTTTTAAACTGTGTCAATAAACACTTTCATACTTTCATTTCAACATATTTCACCATCACTAACTGATAGCCCTGGAAAAACTAACATTGAATTTGGAGATCCTCTCCAATTGCAAGCCCACTGTTGTAGGTATGACAATTCAAACACAGCAAAAGCAAAGAAGCAGTAATTATTTTTTTGTCATATAAATGCATGGTGTTCACTGTTTACCATGAGATGTTGAGATTGTGCTCATAAATAATGCTACAATTTTATCACTGTTTTAAGTAATTCAAAGCGTTTAAAGGAACATCTGTTCTAACAGCAGGGTATTCACAAAGTGAACACTATGGGGAAGATAAGTCAACTGTCTCTATGCACACATTGCTCCCCACAAGTCCAAGAGATCTTGGATAATGTGCACTGCTTCTCACCGGAGTTGTCCTCATCTTTGCGGATCTTTAGCTTGACCAGGTCCTCACATTGCTGCAGGATCTGAACTGCATCTTCCATGGAGCAGTTCTCCAGGCGGATGTTGTCAATGGCCAGCAGTTTGTCTCCTGGCTCTAAGGTGCCTGTTCTGTGGGAAGGGGGCAGAAGACTTTCAGGGAATGATGTTCATAAAACCCTCCACTATTTAGTCATGGTTATTGTCAGGATAGTTGTCACAATCATACATAACAAGATATCAAGACACACAGTGCTGTGGTTTTTCTAGCAATGAAGGAAGCATTTTTACACTTTTAGCATCTACAGTACTAATTTTTACATCTGAGGCTGAAAAGCATCAATTTATAGTCCTGTCTGAAATGAGAATAACCAAATTTAACAAAGAAATCCCATAAACCTTGATGTTCAAATAAGGGTAAAATGCAAAGCATCGTGCACAGGCGAGAGATCATTCAATATTTCATTTCAATCGGTTTTTGCCTGGGGGTCTGGGTTTTGTTTTAACTTCAGATTTCCAAATGCTAACAGACATTTGGTTAATAATTGGAGATCTTAAAGATGGAATTGCCTTTTCAACCTTTATTAAATTGAGAAACTGGTCATATTTAATAGCTCTCTTTTTGTAAAACAGACGATTAGAATCGACGAGGTTAATTTATAATCTTTTGATGTTTGGCAGTTGTAATAAATAAAAGCATACATGACTATACTATGAGGACTGCCGCTGCTTCTCGTTGAAATTATTTCACAAAGGGAAAGATCTCCCTCAGCTGGCAGAGTTTTGAAATGATCTTTTTGGCTGCTTTGAGGCAATAGGTCTACAAACGTTTCAGAACACAATGTTTTTTTTTAGTTCTGAACTGTATTTATGATAAACTGCTATAATTCAGTGATTTCAAGTAGTCTAAAATGTTCGTTGCAAACATGGTATGGCAGGTACTTTTTCACTATTTTTGTAGAAAATGTATTAGCAATGCAATACTTCATTGCCTTTAAAAACATTTCAGCTTTTACCCAAGTGACTATAATGATATCTTTTCTACTTTTAATCATGAGAATAGACTTCTACAAATATATTGTAGTACCAGAATATATAATAGACCATATTATATGTATTATATTGTAGTGCCAATTATCAAAAGTATACCTGCACTCCTTTGCATTTTGAGTCACTGTATATTTTGAATGGAATATTTAGTTGTATACCACCAATTACATTTATTGCTGATGAGAAAAACATTGATAATATTAAATAACACTGGTTTTAATCACAATTATGTATCTTTTCTTTAGTAAAAGGCCATAAAATTCCATTGGAATTTCGGAAACAATTCTATGGAATCCACTAGTTTGCACAGCTATTTCAAAATGATCCACAATTCTTTAGACTACAGAAGTTTCACCCGTTACAAATGTCGATTTCACCTCTTTATTAACTGAAATAGTACTGAAAGCACGTTGAACATGAAATTTGGGAACATTACCGATCAAAGATACAAGTTCAATGGGTTGATAACTGATAAGATTTCAGACAGCTAACAAAGTTTGTATACTCTTATTACTACACAGCAAACAAAAACCCCTCATCAGAAAAAAAAAACACTGCACATAACCGCAATCTGAGAATGGCTGTCACAGGCTCGAAACGTTTTACCTCCAAGAAAGGATGTTCTCATTCCACAAGCTGAACGTACAGGAGATTCTTATTGCTACAGGCATTTCAGTCCCCTCAGGCCATTCGCTAAAGAAGCCCGTTAGATAAATGTTCTTCCCTGTCAAAGGTTTACCATGCCCCCTGGCATTCTGTCATAAACACCAAAGTCCCATACCTATGCGCCATGCTTCCTTTTTTAATATCAGAGATGATCAGGGGCTCCCCTGGCTTTTTGCTTGCTGTTGGGAAAGGAGAGAAAAAAAAAACTGGATTTAAAATGACAGGTTTAGCGAACGTTGCACTTCCAGTCTTTGAGTGCTTTAAAATCACACCGAAGGGGAGACTTCTAGGACTTTGCCAACACATTGGCAGATCACCAAGGAAAGCAGAAATTGTTATCCTTTCATGGAATATACTGGAATCAGGGGTAAATATCAGAGACATACCATTTCGGGTAAGTGGAGGTAAACTGTAGTTAGCTGTGTGAGAAGATATTTACAGTACATGTATGAAAGGAGCTGTGCATGTTTCACTTGCTTTTATAAAATAATTGAAGATCACTTTTTGTTTTGCATTAATGTTAACCTGCAAAAACTAACGATTAAATCGAGAATGAAAGGAGATTATTCCATAAAGGATGGAGTTTTCTGTTATCTTTCTCAAAGAACAAGCAGTCAACATCACTAAGACATGGAAACCCAGTGCCAGAGGCTACCACATCGCTATAGGTCAGACACACTTGCAAGGCTAACAGTCTGTCCTTGTGTTTTCTTGTGTGATCAAGGTTCTCCAGTCCTTGTTCTCAGCAGATGTGACACTACCCTCATTTCTCAGATTGAAAACCCTCAAACAATGGAGAAAACAAGCAGGTACTGTATAATGCGATTTTGAGTGAAGTGAAGAGTTTGGAATGTGACAGACTATACTAGCATAACATTCAACATTCAGATTTAAAAATAGATTTGTTTAAAAAAACAAACAAATATGATACACACTCCACTGTGTTCTATCATTAGGATGCTTCCAGTTAAACTGTGGTATCTAAGTAACAAAACTGAAATGCAGTTTTAGTTTAACATGCATTAACAGTTTTCTAAGATGAGATTGTACATCAAAGAATGGAACTTGTTACAGTTTTTCTTTCATTGCTTGCAAATCCTGGGAAACCTTTTCCTTCACAAAAACGAGGCACCTCTGTTTTGGCCTTCCTTTCTTTGGAGACTGAAGTTTTCACATGTCTCCCAGTAGGCCTTCTGTCTTTCGGATGTATAACCAATCCTTTCAAATGAGATTCTTAAATCCCACATTAAACAGAGCATCAGCATGATTTTCCACTGTGGTACTGAAGCTAGACATTGAGAAATAATTAACTCAACAGAAGAAAAGGGCACTGAAGATAAAGACTTTCCTTTTCTCTGTGAGGATAATGTGGAAATCTTAAGAAATCATATTTGATATACAAATTGCCGCAGTCTATTAACTGTGTATATTTGGCAGGAAAATAAAAGATCTAGTAGGGTTTTGATGTCTATAATTGGTTTAATTAATCAACAATTCCTGAACAATTACGAGAACCTGCTTTATCAGGGAGCATGGCAACTATTAAAAAGGGTCCACCACCTTCCTAAGTACAGGATAACCTTATATTGATGACTTTTATAACAAGCAGTGATAAACATTGGCAGCGAGCTATATTTGTCATATATTTGTCTCAGTTTAAGAGAACAACCTCTTTACACAAACCTTATTTTGTATCACAGGATATACCCAGGGTAATTTATTGATAATGCCAAGTAGTGTTTGTTTCTGAGCAAAGAAGAAAATGGATTATGCTGCTACAACAAGGGTGGTCTGTCTTTCAATGGATGAGATAAATTAACGATTTTAACACTCAGGACAAAGCAGAGCATGGGACTATGGTGCTCACTTCCATTGACCGTGCTGCTGAGCAAGCAGATACACAAAGCTGCAGTTCTGGATGCAAAGGCAACAATTCATACTGCACTCCAGCAAGGACACAGCTCAGCGTCAGGCCTGTAAGGTAGCTGTGGGAGTTGAATATTGTTCATACTGTTGGTCCTCCTCATAAACGGATTGCTGGGAGTGGAACCAATGACTCAAGAAAGTACAGAAGGATGGAAAGCTAAACAAGTAGACAAAGATTTACTGTCCTTTGGGGGACTGCAACAGAGAGGGAGAAAGCAGGACTAAAATATTTTTCATCTTGGAATGCCATGGCACTCCATCTAAGATCATTGCAGAAAAAAATATAAGTAAAAAGAAGGAACAAGTTAAAGGTTTATTCCATGCTGAAAAGAGAATAAAGGAAACAACGTTTCGGCTGTGGAGTCTTCTTCAGGTGTCTCCACAGCTGAAACGTTTCTTTTCTTCTCTTTTCAGCATGGAATAAACCTTTAACTTGTTCCTTTGCAGCCTACGCATGCTGATGCAGCTACTTACTTGAACTACTAAGTAAAAATAGTTTAAACACTCATTCACAGTGTTGACTCCTACTCTCTTAATTTGACTGGCTACTTAAATTAAGAGAGTAATTCTTTAAAGATTTTGAACTTTGAAATCTCAAAAGCAGGGCAAAATTGAGTCTCTTGTTTCGATTATGACTTCCTAAATGACTGAATTGTCCAACTGGACTGCGAGAGGCTCAACAATCACTAAACAACTGTTCTTAGGAACATACCCATTTTTGCGGGTTTCTGGGTCACAGCAGGGCATCTCAAAAGAGACTTGCCCGAGGGACTTTTCCCTTTTCCCATTCCAGCACAAAGAAGAAGACTTTAAAGAGTTAATAGTTTGTTCTGTCACGGTGTTTGCATTTAACATCCAGCTACAAACTACATGCAACTTCCAAGAATTATTCCAAAAAGCTGTGGAAAGCCAGGTTTGGTAAAAGGCATCATATAACGTATAATATATAATATATAATAATCTGATAAGTAGAGAGTTATAACTTTGTCTCCTTTTTTGACAACCCAAAAAATCTGAAGTGACTTATTTTTTTCTCCTTCCCCTAACACGGCTTAAAATACTGTACTGTTAACATACTTTACGCAAAACGAATGGAGAAGAAAAATTAATGCCTCTGGGTTTACATTTCCTCAGCTGTGCTGCAAAATCACAAGCAGAGAATGCTTTTCTTCTCCTTCAAAATTTCTACAGGGAAATTTAAAGGGAAAACAGAAGGCCTAGACTGCAGGCTCATGTGTGTCAATGTGTTAGAGACAGGAAATCTGATATCTGTAGTGTCACTTTTGAAAGCAGTAAACTGTGGCATTCAGTTGAAACAATCTGACTTTCACCACATACAGAGACCAATGTAACACGTTACTTAGTTGAATGCACAAACTGGAAAAGTCTATACAGACTATACAAATTTTAAGCTGTCTGATATTCATTGGGTGATATTTAAAAAAAAAAGGTTGTATCCCATCATGACAAGCAGAGCATATTTTTCTGCCACTTCACTTATTCATTTTCATGAACGTTTAGTTGTTTACAATCGCACCTGGTCAAGATGCAAAGGATGTTAATAACAGTAGCAACACTTGGTGGAATGCAGCCCTGGGTACTGATGATAATTCACCTACTACTCCAAATATTACAGCAATGTAATATTTGTCCACATTTGCCCCCTTTTCACTTCCTTATTTCTTAGCCTGTAAAATAGAGCAGATATAAACAATAAACCAAGAATAAAAATAGTGCAAGACACAAAGTGGAGTAGACTTGATATATTATGTGTTTTTCAGACAACAACTCTGACTCGGAAAGGGAACTGTTTATTTCACAGTTGATCCAAATGAGACCTTGCCAGTTACTCCCATGAAAGCCAGGGATACTGCTTGAAGAATTCTATTCTATCCTTTTCTTTCAGTTAAGGAGTGTAGATAAAGAGGCCATGATAAATGTTAATATTTTTTTAATCATTCCTAATGAAGCACTTAATCCCTGCATGACAATCTCCACATAGGCTTCCTGAAGACATGGTTCACAGAGCGCTGCCTGGGCATCGATTCAGAAGGAGATTAATTTACTAGGCTCTCGATCCTAAAGGGCTCAGAGGCACTATGGAAAGAACTTTAAAAAAGGCTGCTGAAGCTGCTACTCACCACTGATTGTAATTCCCAGCTCTACCCCTCTTTTCTTGGGCAATTTAACATGGAATGTACCACTACTGGGGACAACAGATTCTGGAAAGAAAAAACAGAGTGCATTGTTGTAGTTTTAGACAGTTTTGTGTATATACTGTATTGTATTGAACCCTTTCACGTACTTGAGTTCTGACAGTTGAGATAAAAATTGTAAAAAATGGCCAATCAACCTATTTAGAGGAACTTTAGTCTTCAGTACTGTTCTGAAAAGTAGACTGTACTTCAACAGTGAAGTATACACTACAAGTGCATTTAAAACATGAAAACATTAAAACAGGAGACCGGTCTTAAAAAAGTGTGGGAGTCTGGCAAAAGCAGCACAACATTGTTGTCAAAGCTGGTACTCTAGTTCCTTTCAAGAAATGGTGGGTCGAAAACTTCCTATTATTTTGCTACTAGAAACTAAAACTAGACCTATTTTTTTACCTTTCATACAGTATGTTCTTAACGTCCATATGATACAAGAATATTATCATCATCTTATTTGTATTATTTGTTGTATCTCCACGACTTTGTTCCATGTAATTGTCTTCTCAGACAATTGTCTTCTGTGGGTGTGCAAACTACTAAACAGGCGCACCACAAAAAATCATCTTTTGAAAAAAAATCTGAAAATCTTTCAGACCTTAAAAGAAATTTCAAATTTGAAAAGAGAAACATTCCTTGCATTTGTGTATGAATTACTTTAAATGGTCATGTAAAAACTAGAACTAGGTGCTGAACCAGCATCAAACCTATTGTACATGTACATACAGTAGTTCATTCAGGGTCTTATGCAACATAAACTTAATTTCAAACTACAGTAGCAGGTTTCTAGAACCTCAACAACTGAAATAGAAACCACCCCAAAGAAAAATCCAAAATGAAACAGTAAAAATACATTTTATCTCACTTTCTCAGTTAAATACATGAAATAAAATCTTGCTCAGCGGCTGAAAGACTATCGTGAAATTGTTACCTGAGGTATATATTGAAACAAACTCATTTAGGCTTAATTTCCTGATTTACAAAACTGCACTTGTACTGTACTTGTGTTACTCAGCTGATTCATCTAGTTTTAGAACAGCTGCAATCATTTTGTGAAATAGTTAATAGTTTGAAATGTTCAAAAGTAGAAAAAAGCACCAACAAAACAGTATTAAGACAACACTTCCGCTATCTGCAGTGGCCCCTCTAGGTTTCCCCCCAGAGGAAACCTAGGCGAGAATCAAACTGCTACAACAGAAGAACTGAGCCATCATGTCAGCTGACAAGCCCCATCTCCTGGAATCATGGATTCGAACAGCAAAAATCTTCCCACAAATGACATCAAGATAAAACACGATCCATTGACACCAGGAGTGGGAATGCAGAGGCTCTCAACACAGCAGCAACATTTTATAAGAAGCAGTAAGTTCAGCCAAACAAATCCATCCCTACTACCGAGACTAAGATCTGAACTATCGTTTGACAAATGTCCCCAGGGAAAGCAAAGAACAGAGCTTTGTTAGTAATCTTGGATGATGAAGAAACAGGAAAAAAAAAAACAGTCATCTGGTCATTCAGTCATCTGGCCTTTCCCCCAAAAAATAAAATACGCCCCTAAACAGTTTCTACAAAGGACTAAGGACCAGTTTCATATCTACCATCTGCAATGGGTCAAATATGCTCTGTAAAGAAAAAGACAAACCAGTTGATGGATTATTGTAAAAAATTAAGAACATAAGAAAGGTTATAAGGAGCATTCGGGCCCGGACTACCAGACTCAGAGACAGTTTTTACCCCTGCACTATCAAACTATTAAACTCCCAGCCTCTCTCACTCTCACCTCTCACCTATGATCTAAACCTCACAGTGCCTTCTTTCTTACCAAAAACTCAAACACACATTGAAATCTACCTCTACCTTACATGTCAAAAATCTCACTCCCCATAATTTCTATCCTTTTATTTCATTCTGTTGATGCATGTTTTTGCACATCTGATGTTGCTTTTGCACATTACCTGTTACCTGTTGTTGTTTTGCACACTGCCTGTTGTCTCTGTCTTTCTTTTATTATACAATTGTATTGTTGTTGTTTTTTGTACTACTTATTGTCTGAGAGCTAGCTAAACAGCATTTCGTAATACCATATACCTGTATATGAGTATAATGACAATTAACTTGAACTTGATTGACTTGAAGTGAGAGGAGGCCATTCGACCCGTTTATCCTGTTTGATTGCTAGTAGCTAATTGATCCAAGGATCCATCCAGCCAATTCTTAACTGATGTCAGCAGTGGGGACATCAGCAACCTCATCACCCTCACGATTCCAGAGGTTGGGATAGCAGAACAGAGATGCAACTGAAAGAAGGGCTGTGATTTATGAAGAGCTGACCTTAGCCCAAATCTAGATGAGGAGATCACATGGGAGGTAAGATTCAGACATTTAACATTTTCCAACTACTGTTTAGATCATGTTTTTGTCCACATTAGAATTACGCTTTTAAGTTGTATTCTGTCCTACACAGTCAGCTCTTATGATATTTTGCTATTTGGGAAGTTCTGTTTGCTGTAACAGTCAACTTAGTTACCACTATGATGCTGAGTAAATTGTATTTTAAAGATAATTCAGTAATAAGGGGTTCACATTAAGAAAGGGATTTCCAACTGCATCACAGTACTGTAAGTCTTATACAGTAGGTCACCCCAAATCATGCACTCTAAATTTTGGAAAAACACTGGTCCCTGAGGACTGAAGGGTATTGGGTTTTTAAGATTTATGCTAGATTATTTAACAGATAACACGCTTCACAAACGTCAAATGCAACTGCAGCGTTTTCAACTCTTTTGAAATTTAACAATTGGCTCCCGTATAACCTCCTGGACTGGGGGCTCTATGGTACCAGGGCTAGACACCCCTGCGTTAAAATAACAGTTTCCAAACCTGCAACATCAAATTCTATTTCCAGAGTAACTTTATTGGATAGTGCTGCATCTCGTAAGAGCTGATTGGCCTCCTCAAGAGTTCCATCTTCAGTTGGAATGCTGTTAATGGACAAAAGTCGGTCTCCAACCTGGAGCAACCCACACCTGTAAACAGAAACACAAAAAAGCCCTTAGGCACTAGCAGCTTGGTTTGATTCTTAATAAGCAGAAATGTTTAACATTGCTTGGTATGCTTTCATTATGAGGCTATCACCTGATGTGCCTAGATGAGCCACACATTTATTAATCAGGACATACTTGACACTGCATCAGTGCATCCACTAGAGGGATTGGCCTCTGAAGCAGTAAAAAAATGCCTTTACAAACAATTTGAAGTGTTCCCAAAGAATGCTTAGTGTCACACTGAGCATACTAACATAAAGCATAATTAAACGCCTTCTGCACACAGTAAGCATATACTGCATGAGTCAAGCCCAGCATGAGACAAAAAAGCCAAACAGGCACTGTTGTCTTTCTATCTGTGCTCTGTTTTGTGCCTGTTATTGATTTACATGGATTTGACCTCTCTGTGCAGGTTGCTTAGTATAACGTAACATGACTAAGAACAAGTGTTGAGGATAGAGTTAAAATCAGATGCCAAGGCCTGGAATGCACTCATTACAGTACATGAGGGGAGTCTTATGTGTGACATTTCAAGGGCTGAGAAGCCAGCTGGAAAAGAGCCAGCTCCATTTGTGAAAGCTGTTTAACTAAGATATGATTCTTTGAAGGGACTTCTGTAAACTACTAATGTTCTCAATGGTGCTTTCCTTTAAAATTTATCAGTGCCTTATTGAGCACAGAGCCAAGAATACCATTATCACAGAAAAAAATCTCAAGCAAAAAAGAAAAAAACAGGCCGGAAAATCCATTCTGGGGTTTTGGAGCAACATTGCAAAAGGTCAGTTTCTTTTTTTTTAAATGTGAAAAGCAAATCTGACATTCAAAGTTCAATTACATGAGGCAGGGTAAGAGGCTATCTTTTTAAAAGTGCTGAAGTGGCACAATGATTGATGTATGGTTTAAAACTTGGTGCCTGAAGGCTATGAACCCCATTAGGCACCTTCTGATTGATTGCTAATTATCATCTCTTGGACAGGGGTTTAAATCAATAACCAGAAATAAAGCTTTTGCATGTCCTACACAGACTGCAGGAAATGCTAAATGGACATCACTGCTGACTGTCACAACTATAATTAAATGATGAACTTCACAGCCTCTGAAAGCAATATGATTTGTACTCAAATTTCTTAATGCCTTTAAAGTGCCTGGCTGTCAAAAGAAGTTCATAATAGCATGTTGGTTAAAATAACTGCTAACTTTGAAGAGCGAAGGTCCCTCTTGTTTTTTTATGACTAATAGTTAGCAAGCTAAAGTACCATGTCTCTATTCATCCATCCATCCATTTTTTTAACTGCCACGTCCAATTCAGGGTTGCGAGTGAGCCAGAGCCTATCCCAGCAAGCAACAAGTGCCTGACTAGGGATACGCTCATGGTGGGACGCCAGTCCACTGCAGGGCAGATGGACAAAGATAAACACACACCCGCACCAGGACCAATTTCTCCAGAAGCCAAATAACCTACCAATATGTCTTTGGACTGTGGAACGAAACCAGAGCACCCAGAGGAAAGCCACAAAATCACAGGAAGAACATAAAAATTCCACACCATAGCACTCCAGATCTGTAATTGAACCCACTGCTGTGAGGCACTCTGCCACACTGCCCCTTTCTGTCCATGTTGTTTTCTACTTTCTGCGAACAGTCTTGTTTGTATTTTCACAGACATAACAAAATCATGTCCTATCCAAATCAAACTCTGTCCATCATCCCCCTTGGTGCTAAAGCCTACAATGTAGTTAAACAGCTACAATGAGAATCCCTTATGAAAAATCCCTTTGCAACAAGCACTTCCAAGCCTCCACTGTCCTTCCAAAGTCATCTTGGATCCCAGCCGTCAAATGTTCAGTATAAACTATGTCAGCACGGGGATTCACCGGTGCCGAGAGAGAATAAAGAGCTTTCCAACACAATTCCGGCTGCAGTCATACCAGCCAGCCAGAGAAGCCTGGATCAGACTCATCATCCAGCAAGAGTATTAACCTATACAGAATAATGGACAAACACACTTCCAAAATTTAACAACCTCCAGAAATAAATTCCAGTTCGTAACAAAGGTCCCTTGACCCTTTGAGTCTTAATCAATGATCGGACATTTCACTTTGAAGGAGGGCTCAGCTTCATGCTATGCTGCAAAATCTATAGGAGTTCAAATCTCACAAATACCCATTTCTGTGGTTAACTTATTCTACGCAATCAAAGCAGCATTTAAGTACAGGGCTTATGCAATGCCACTGGGAAATACCAGTCACAGTTCACCAGTGTGGACAAAAACCCATTCTGTCATTTAGATGGATGCCTTCTGAAAACGAGCCAACTGGAAGTCAGTGCCTCATGGACTACCACGAGATAACTGACCACAGCCCAACATCCTGGCCCATCAAAATTCACCAATTAGGTTTATAAGTGGGGGGGGGAGGAGAAAAGGAATTTCAGTGTTAATTAGAAGTACTGAACAAAAACTGAAAAGCAGCGCTCCCAAATGTAAGGGAACACAAACAGTTTGATTTCTATGAAGATAAACTACACTCGAAAAAAAAAATATTTATCTGTTGGAGAAATTATCATTAAAAATAGAAACAAAAAAGCAAGAACATTATGCTGAATGTTTTTCTCTCACACAACGCCTTAGGGAATCTTGTCAGAAGCAATTCCTACTTTGGTAGTTAGAAGACAAAGCTAAGGAGCATAAAAAAACAGTCTTGGGAATAAAGCTCAAACAGAAAAGGTGCTGTAAATATTTGTAAATATTACCCTTTTACTTGAAGTCCAGTGAAAACCATACAGGCCAGATTTAAATTGATCAAACCTACACATTCAAATAGAATTCTTAATATTTTACTATACTGATAAGACAAGATCAAGTATAACATTCCACTGAGCCCTGACCCAGATATATGAGTAACAAACTAATCTAACTCAACTGACAAAAATTTTCTTCTGAACTTTGATGCTTTTCAAAAGCTGCAGAAAATACCATAGCCTATTTAGTTTCTGAGCTTGGAACCATCAATCTAGTATTTCAGTTATAAAATGCCTCATTTCCACCTCAATAAAAGATTAATAATACTGTAAAAAAACACTTTATGTGCAAATTGCAGCTTTAGGTGTAATTGTGCTTTGATGAGGTGAAGCTGTAATTTACTGTACTCCAACCATTGGCTGGATTGTTTAAGAAAAAGTACGCTTATGTTTCATGCTAGATAAAACGTATCATCCATCTAATATCAGAAAGCACCAGGGTACCCAGAACCTATCCAGGAAAAATCAGGACTATAGGTGAATGGGATTACAGTCCATCATGAAATGTGACAAATTTTGTTTGCAAATGTTTTCAGGTGGTATTAAAATATAAGCATACCCATTCACAGAGAGCTATCAGAGACATTCTCGAGTTGAAAATAATACTGAGCTGGGTCTATGGTCAACTTGCTCTTTTTGCCTGGTAATTTAATGGCAAATATTGGTGAAAGTGAGAAAAAAACAAAATGACCTTTTTTCTATTGAGCCTCACTGTAAAGAGCATTGTGTCCGCAGAAGCACAGGCAGATAACCCTGAGTAACAAAGCTTCATTTATAAAGCGGAGCTCAAAAGATGTTAACCAAAGAAATCTCTTGGTCCTAGAATGGTGCTGTAGTGTACGCCTATTCATACGAAGTCCCCTAGGTCTCAGTACCTGCATATGAACCTACATCATCAGCATTCTAGGTATAAGTATGGTTGCAAAGATTGTGTCAATGATATACTGTATAGTAGATCATGTACTTTGCTGTAAAACAACGGGTAAGCAAACTGAAGGGGAAGCTGAAGTTAAAATATACTTGTAGTGAAAACAGGGCTAACACTTGTGTTAGAAAGGCATAGAAATGGATCGTTAGTGTAACCCAAACAGGAAGCACAATTATCATTAAGCCTGAAAAATCAGGGCAGCAGTATAGCCAACTTCTGCACTCTTTTAACTGGAAGAGAAGCTGCCGTTGTAACCTTGAGCAAGGTACTCCACCCGAATTGTTCCATTAAAATACCCAGCTTTATAAATTGGTGAAAATGCAGTCAAAGTTGTAAAAAATAAAAATCAGCCAGAATAATCAGTGAAGATAAGGCAGACAAGAGAACGGATTTTTTATTTTTATTTACATTTAAAATATTTTAAAAATTGAAATATTTTCAAAGCAACAACGGTTTTCTCTGCAAACACTTTCCTTGACAGTTTTAAACTTCGAAACCCAAGCTGCAACTTCTCACTAACACAAACTGCATTATAGGGAAGAGGAACAAGTAAAGGTTAATTCCTTGCTTCAGGTGTCACCCGAAGAAGGCTCCACAGCCAAAACGTTGTGTTTCTTTCCTTCTCTTTTCAGCGTAGAAGAGACCTTTACTTGTTCCTTTGCAGCCTATGCCTGCTGACTCAGCTACAGTACAAACTTGAACTACTAAGTTCAACTAAGAGAGCTAATGGCCTGAACGGGACAAAGGCAAGACAAACGGTAAGAAAGATCATGTAAAGATCTGCTTAATTTTTACATAGTTCAAGGCTCACCTCTCAGCAGGGCTGTCCGGTTCGATGAAGCGAATGAGGGGAGGGGCAGACAGGGTCTCAGTGGCGAAGATGCCTCCCTGGAGCTGAACGCCAAAACCGTTGAGTGGGTCACCTCTTAGTGTGATCTCACTGGTCTCCGTGTGGACAATCTGCCCACCGGGCCCCAAGGTGCTGGAGGCTAGAGATACTGGGACAGGAGACAGGCTTCAGCTCCCTGGGTCACTCCGTTCACACAACATCAGTCAATGCTCCACACGCGCTACTCAGAGTTCATCACACGCAAAACAATAAGAGCAGGTAATACTGTGTTAAGACAGTCAATACTGTTAGAACAGTAACAACAGCTTCAAGGCACAATGTCTTCCTCAAATGATAAAATCCATATTAGTATACATATGAATCCATATAATACATATTAGTAGGCTTGACAAAGATCATACTACTGACCAAACACAAAGCACAGAACGTAATAGTTAAAACATTTGTATTTTATTGCTTAACCATGTCCCCTGGGGGCTGATATTTATAGCTTGGATGTAAAAACTAAAGGAAAACAAGAAAATCCTATTTGAGATTGCATAAATGAAGGTTAAATACTCTACTAATAATCAATTTATCATCAATTGAGATTTGATGGAATGTTAATAAAGCATTTTAAGACTAATTTATTCATTCTTATGGCTATCCCTCGTGGTCAAGGATGGTCGAAGCTGACTGATAACACCAATGCAGTATCCAAACAGACTCTTGCAGGTTGAACAAGGATATCTTGGGAGATATCGGATTGTGTACTGTGCGATCAGGTTATGGTGAGCCTTCTTCAATGCTCTCACTTTGCTTCTTCATTCTGACACCTTTGGGTCACAAAGTGCTAGGCAACTTCTCAAATATTCTTCATCTGTCTTGTTCAGTCAAGAACCGTAATCTTGCAGAAGATGATGTTGCATTTCTTTGTGTCAGCTGCAGATCTGGCATGATTTCCCTTGCTGAACTAGGAGAAGAAAACTCATCATCTTTGTAAACGGAGTTCTATAACTGATGCAAGGGTGGTTTTAGTTTTGGACTGGAGATCATACAGATTACACAATTTGCTGCCCAGTAGTTTGTCTTTTATTAAATAAAAGAAAGTAAGATGCTTGGAAATATTGAATATTGGAGAATTGGGGTGATGACACACCCTTGTTTGTGTCCTGTCCAGGGCTCTGTATGGATCCAGCAGTGAGGCAGGCAGGAATCCTAACAGATTTTTGCAGGAAAAAAGCAGGACTGAAGGAGTTCTTTGATACAGTACTTCATCCTTGACCCTACAATATTCACTGACCACATTCTATGGTGGGGATGAGGGATGAATTTTGGTACCCAAAACAGCTGTAGATTTTCAGTGGTAAACATGTAGAGGACAAATTCATGTTAGGGTTGATTTTAGATTTAGGGTTAGTAGAGTATATACATCATTGTTTCTGTAAGAGTTTTATTAACATCCTACAGAAACTCAATTGATATTAAATTCACACCTAATAGAGTATCTTACTGGGGAAGACATTCATTTCTAGTAGAATAATTTACAGTTGTGGTCAGGAAGATGCTTTTCTGGTTACATAAATGGAGTTTCACATACAAGAGCTCTTGTGCTCCTTCTTCCTTTGCCTCCTCTTCATCATCGTATTCCGGGGACTCATGGGATGTGAGTTACGAGGCAGGGTGCTGGCATTCTGGGTGGGGAATCCCGAAGTGTTTGTGGAGCCAGGGGAGAAATTGGTAGACACCAGAGCTAATAAAAGCAAACACACATAGCAGGAACAGGTCAAATTTAAAAGTACATACTATAAATATATATTACCTTTAACATACATATCTATTTCCAAATATACAACTATTTCAATATTCCTATGGAAGAAAATATAGAAATTTCAAAAGTATTGTACTGAGACATTATAATGTTAAATATTTTCTCTCTGTATGCACTTTGAAGGACAAAGAAGGGCAAGTAAAGTGTTGCATTAGGACAAAATGTATTGCATTATAGTGTTAACTTTTATTCATCAAGGAATTCATCACATTAAAATTCCTCTATGACACTTTTTAGGGGGGCTGTGTGTGCATTTTAAAATAATCGTTCAATTTCAATGTGAGTAAGTTTGTCACTTTGTTTTTGTTTTTCCTCCTTTAGTTAGAAATGTTGCAGCTTGGCAAAATATATAAAAACCAAATTAAATAATCTAATCTTAATGCAATGAACAAAACATATACTGGATTAAATTTAGCTCAACTATGACAAAAATAATTAATTGCCACAACCTCACTATTTGTGGTCTGGTGATTTAATTTTCCACAAGTCTTCCACGAGCAAGTGCATAGTAAGAATAAAGTTCCAAATTACTGCTCTTAGAAATCATCAGCACAGAATAATAATAGAGGCTGAGAGCTCTGTCATGATGGAACACTCCCAGGAATGCTGGCTATGCTATGTTTAAAATGTACAGGGGTGTGAATTATAACTTCTACTAGGAAGGCAGATTAAATTAAGCATTGCAATTCTATTAGCAGTTTTGCAACACAGTGCATTAAAGCTACAGTACCATCAATTCTGGGACAATATTGTACATACTGTTGCATAGATAGGTTTTTCTAAACCTATTAATATCTTACATTCTACATATGGGGTGGGATGAAAATGAATCTCTCCTTGATTTAGTGTAATCTGAAATAAGTAATGATGTTGATAAACTACTGCTGCTCAAAAGGTGGATTTTATTCTTTTATATTCAACGTCTCATTGGAACCAAATCCATTTTTTCCCCCACTTTAATCACAGCTGAAGAGGGCAGCCAGTTAACTATACATTTACTATCACTTTCTTTAGCCACCTGAAAAAGTGATTTATTACAACATCTCAAAATTTTGCCAAGCACTGAAATCTATACAGTACATCCATTAATTTGCTTGTTTGCTTCTGATATTGCAGGTATTCGTTTTATTATGCCTGGCTAAAATTATATACTTTGAAAAGGTTTTTGGGGCTATCATCCTTCTATAAAAAGGAATGCCAGTCAAGCAATGAATTTCCAGACGGAGCCGAAGAATATGTTATATTTCTGTTGGTTATGCTCCTCCTACAGTATTTTAACCAAGACTCCTAAAAGGTTCTTGTGTCATGTTACCATGCTTGGCCATACATTCCTCGCCCTTTGTTAATTGGTAAATATCAAATGATGCGTATTAATGGGGACTTTCCATACCATCATTGTAAATGAGAATGTAGTGATCTAACACGTTATACAATACTATAGAAATTTCAAACCAGCATCAACAACCAGCAACGAACAACAATGAAGCTGCTAAGACGTCTAAGAAGGGAGAACATCAGGGAAACGGTCAGAAAGAAGACTGCACTGTCTTCCTGCCAATATGTGCCTGGTCAACAATGTCATGGAAGATTGCCAGATAATACATGCTTAGCATCCACAACTGAACAATGTGTTGTTCACATGTTCATAGTTCGATTATGTTTTTAACCTTAAACCTAGTAGTTTTTTGTTGCTTTAAATGACTCCTTATGTGGCAGCTTCATCCAGCATTTCCAAGCATAAGTAGACAACTAGAGACTTTTGGATTTTTTCAGCAAAAAATTAACTTATCATTAAACCAACAAATGAATTCCCATCAAATACAAAAAAGCAGCACTAAATTGATTAAGGAAAAATCTTTTGAAAGCTAGGATTTCATGTCAAGAAGTAAAACAAAAATCTTCTAGAGTATTAAAAAGTCTATACAAAGTAGTTATGTTATAAATTGCAATAGAAGGGAGAGAGAATGAGGGCAGTTACACTTGCAGTACTCCTGGTTGGTGGTGGAATTAGAGGAAGTCCACGTTGGGGTCTTGCAGTGTCCAGGATGCTGAGTGTGGCAGTAATTGACACAGGGATCCCAACAGTGATGATGGTCACTCTTCTGTACTTTCACTGTAATTGAAAGAAAATCAAACACTATTCTTAAACTCAGCTACTGTATGCTGGTCAGCATGTACTTGTTAGTTAAACTCAGTTCTGACAACTTGCATCTGAATTGAACTACCACCCACTGTCTCACAACATGGTTTATTTCCCAGGCATTGCCCAAGGGTTTTCCTCATTTTGAAGAATGACCCACAAGGTCTGTCCTTACGCCAGGACGCAAGTTTTTACGTACCAATTTCTTTTCCAAGTTTTCCCATTTTAGAAATGGGAGAGAAGCAATTGCAATGTTGCCTTTCACCAGCAACACATGGACGCCCAGACACAGCAGGAAACAAAGATGACAGGAGGATTTATGCTTTTCAAATCAAATACATTATATCCTGAGGTGGTTGGTGCAAGAATATGATGATCAGGTATAAGAACACATGCAAAAAAAATATAAGACTCCAATAATATAAACACAGACCAAGGCTTTCTTTACTGTAAGTAGTGATCAAAATACAAATATACTAAAGGCAATAAGTCTCTCTTCAACACCAAGTCAGATGAACACACGCTGCTCCACACCTTCCTAAACTTTAAATTCTGGAGCAGACTGCCTCTCTCAGAATTAAACACGACAGATAGGCATGAGAATGTGAGGAATGTGAGACTCTGATTGGTTGGTAGGACCATCAGCTCATTAAGCACCTAATGTTAGGTCTTTGATTTTGAAAAAGAGAGTTGTCTTTTGTTTCTCATTCATACTGCAGTCTCCTTCACTAAAACTCCAAATCTGGTACAGTATGTTATAAAGTACATGACAGCCTTAATTATAGCTATATTGTTTTTGACACTTGGCCCTTATGTCTATTTAATGTTATGAAGAATGAATATACCCTTCAATTCCAGCTAGAGTTGCCAGCTGGCCCCAGTTCAGCTGATCCTGCAGATTTACTGGGTGCTTTTTCATTAGCACTCGGTTAAGGCCTAAATATATGATGATTGTACTTCTTACAAATATTTTAGTTTAATTATATAATCAAGATCAGAGCTGGACTGAAAACAGTGAAGACTGGAATTGCTCATACCTACTGTACTACTATGCAAAGTGCCACAAATCAGGGACACATCCTATTGCCAACTGTTGGTCAAAAATGGGAAAACAATATAATCTGTACACTGTTTATAAGTCTTTGAGCTTTCTAATAAGATGTTAAATTTAATTAAAATTGATTAGACCAATTTGAAAACTTTGTCCAGCTCTTCAGTGCTGTTGGTTTTGAAAAGATCCACAGGAATACAGTACTGCCCCTCCACACTTTTCTAATGAATTTCATTTTAAAAATCTGTTATGTATCAAAATAAGGGCTCATTAGTGCACAATTGAATTAAAACATCCACAATTATTCAACTTGTCAGACTGAAACACATTCTTGTTATATTCCTTTTAAAAAACATGAAGCTCAATTAGTCCCAGATTGAAAGGTGTGATGAAAAGTAATAGGAATGAACTCATTTGTAGGATTTAAGTTATTTTCTTGAACTTTTTTGATCCCTCTTAGTACAGGATAGTGTAAAGGTGTTATGTAACACAGACAAATCAGTTAAATATCCACACCAAATAAATGATTTGAAGTTGTAGAAATTAGAATCACATACTGCAAATGCAGAAAATTCCATTAATTTGTTTAACTAGAAATGGCCCAAGCCATTCGGATTTGTCCCTCACAGCACAATACGCAAACTAGGATAACATACAGTAAGAAAATGGACCACTGGACAACAGTAAAGCATCATCTGCAGTATACTATTCATCCTGATTACTTTTTATGACGAGTTTTCACTGAGATTACAATATCTCAGTGAAAATAAAGTATTATAATATTTTTCATATTTTTTCAATTCCATCTGGGTGCCACTATACATGATAGATCTTTGTGTTTATGAATAAGAGCTTTTAAGCTTCTAAGTTCACCGAGCACACAGTTTCATCACTGCTATATGAGTTTCATACCATTATACTGTAATTGATTATTGTACTAGGAATGACCAAGGACTGCATTAGGTCTGAAAAACACTGTGCATTGCTCACACCACAAATCCCAATTTTATTTACTCTATTTAAAGTATAAAAACCCAAAATACAGAGCAATTCCTCGACTATGCTAAACAATTTCAGTAGGCAGAGAAAAGCTGGCCAGGTGGCTGCAATCTGAACACTTGATGCATATCAATAACTGGTTACAAAAACAGTGCATTACACACTCTAACAGAGGGATACAGTGAAATGAAGCACAAACATTTAAGAAAGATAAAGGGATTGCTTCATTTAATTTGAGTTTAATTTACACTGATTTACACAAGAGTACTGATGTCTGGCAGAAGACAGGTGTGCAGGTGATAATTGTTTTATTGAGTTAGGCTGTTTTATGGGGAGCAGCATTTCAAAGCCCTTGGTATCAAACCTTGATTAATAAAAGTGCAACAGACGTAAAGCTGAAGAGTTAAGCTGAAGAATCAGAAAATAAGGTGTAGAAAATCAAATGGTTAATTTATATTACAAAAGGGCAAATAAAGACATGACAATAAAGCCACTTTTGACTGTTTTATCATTTGAAGAACATCTAAAGAGCATCTTCCACCTGCATAGCACTGGAGAAAAACCTCAACCTGCCTATCTGATGCTAAAATATTATTTAATCAAGATTTGACTGTAATGCTTAGTGACTGGGGGAAATAGGCTTCAGTACTGTATGTCTAGAATTTTGCATTCCATATGCTAACTATGGTAAAAGTAGCTCCCTTCCTCTTTAATTTACACTAGATCCTACTGAAGTTAAGAATGGACTTTAAGATTCTGTTGCTGAATTCAATCACTTAATGTAAGACTATAATCCGAGGTCTTAATCTTATTAAAACCTTGGATTATAGTCTTGCAATAAATCATTAAATTAAATTCAAATACTGAATATGCTTATTCGACCTCATACAGTGGGTGACACAGCTTTCTATGTGCAGGACCTTGTTTGAGGAACTCACTGACCAAATCTGTTAGAGACACTGTCAATCACTTCAAACTTTGCTGAAGGGCCTATCTTTCCACTCATGCTTTTAAATTTAATTTAGTTTTACTCCTGTCTTCATGAAGTCCTTCCTGGGCTCCCCCCAACTTGTCTTTTGCTTCTGCTATGTACTGTATTGCACAGATACAGGTATGCGTGCTACTGTACAATGTTTGAGTTGAAGATTTCGTAAATAAAAGTGAGTTATTATGAAATCTTACAACTAGCAAAAAAGGAAAGATGATCATTTCCTTTCTCTGTTTTAGGCCTAAAATGATAACCCATCTTAAAAAACACAGCCAGATAAATGGGGAACAATTTATGGAAGCTACTTCTGAAATCTGAACACGTTTTGTGTTATTTTCAGTGCAATTAAAAAAAAAATTAAGTGGATGAAAAGGTGGGATTGTTCACATTTTCCATATGCCTTTTTTAATCTGGGAGTTTGACCTTGTTCAAAGTGCTGACTGTCTTGTTTTCAGTCAGTGCCAAAAGCTAAGCCTTCAGTGACCACGCTAGTTTTAAAAGTATATGTATTTCACTTTGGGATTTTTCATTCCAAGAATAAAGAATTTTGAGACAATTACCATCACCTAACCATTTGAGCCTCTGGGTTATCTGTAAAATTCAGGGGGATGAATACCAAAGGAAATGGGATGGAGCACTACTAAGGAGGGGGCCAGAAGACTGAGTTCTAATTTCCTCACAGAATTGAATGCCATAAATCCTCACTTTTTCTTGCCTTACGCTAAGCTGTGGTATGGATTTTTAAGAAATTCAGTTCTGATCTCCACTAGAAAAAAACATAAAAATTGTAAATATGTAAAAGAAAAAGTATACGCTTAAAATTGATGTGACATCTGAAAGCTTTAATCTCCTTAAGAGATTAATTTTATGGCAACATCAAACATTATAAAAACATAAATCTTAACTAAGGAGGTAAAGTTTTTTTATGTCAGCATGCCCTTTTCCAATAATACTGTCATTCATCTGATATATTCCTGGCTGTCATAAAGTTGTATTTTAGACACATGCTTAACTGTTACGAACAACAGTTGGTACAGTACATGCCTTGCTCACTGCAGTACAATCAAGTGTAGCCAGTAATAAGCATAGCATAAGAATCGATCCCCTGCACAGAATAAAGTGATATGAACCTATGAAATGTATACTATTTTGAACGGGAAACACAAACGTGGCCTACAAAACTAAAACTAACTTCAGCCAGAACTTTGATTCAGCCAGAAGAAGTTTACAATATTAGAAATATGTACTCCTTTCACCACTGCCACACATACAGTGCACGGCCTGTACTGGTGGATTTACAAGACAATGTGATAAAGAAAAACTAAACTAAAACCAAAAAGCTAGGCTGTTAACGCAATATTACAAAGCACCTGTATCTCTTCACAGCAGTGTTTCTTTTACACCCATTTTATTTTTTCTTGTCATGCTGCCCAGAATGCGCTTCTCCAGGTCTCAATTACAGTAAGTCTCACATAGGAATTTGAAAAATAATACCCTGCAGAGTCAACAGGCAAGTGTTGAAATCAGCTTATATTTCCTTATTTAACAACGACTACTGTCTGAGTTGTAATGTACCGCATATTCAAAACCCCATAAAAACTGCACTCGAAATGACAGCACTACATATGTTCAACACTGGGACAGAAGTGTTTCTGTGGGTAAAAAGCAAAAATACAACTTTCAAATGAATCTTGCAGACATAAATTTATTTTTAATCAATAGAAATCTGATTGTGTGCCATTTCACTGACATTCCAGTAACATTATTCTGCATTTAATTAATCTAATTTATGACTGGATTGAAAATTGAGTCCAAAATATGTAAATGTAACCCATACTTACCTACGCAATACTAGTATCTTGATATAAGACTATTTTGAAAAATACCCTGGAACTCCTTGACCCAAAATATATAATGGTTAATCTGATTTATGAATCATACACTCTGAAGAGAAGCTTGTCTGTTTGCATCAATGAATTTCTCAGAATTTTTAAAACTCCTGAAAGCTATATTCTCTACCCAATGTGCACTGAAGACTTGCCTATACAGCTATGTATGCATCATCTACATTTACTTTAGATATTTTAAGATATCCAACTATACAGCATCTGTATACCGTATATAAAAGATTTTTGTTTTTACACAAACTTAACAAATATCAGGAAGGTTACATTTTGAAGAGCTTAACATATCTGAGGGACCCACTGCAACCTCCACAAAAGTGCATCACCTACTGTATGTGATGTGCAGTAGGAAAATTAGCAAGGAATAAAGCCAGGATACCAGGGTTACATCCCTACTCTTACCAATAGTAGAATGGGATCTTGAAGAAATAGCCAGGTCCTAAGTTTAATATATTATCCAAACCTAAAACGGTAAAGTGTCCCAGTCACCCTACTGGAGTATAAGTTTGTAAATTATACTTTACAATCCAAATATTTCCTTGAGGTTTTCCCAGTACTGACGAAGCCCAACCTTGCTTAGTTTCCGAGATCAGATGAGATCCGGAAATGAGATGGTAATGCGGCTGTCAAGTAGTATAAGCCTGGCTTAGTGAAAACAAGGAAAGGAAGCAATACCGTCTATCGAAAACTCTCCTACTCACCAGTGTCCTGTGGCTTGATTGGCAGTCGGCTATGATGTGCAGGGAGGATCTCCAGCTTGACGTTCTCCGTGGTGCTGGCTAACAACTGTGTGGCTTCCAAAAGTGAGCAGTGCTCTGTACTCGTACCATCTATCGAGAGGATGTGATCTCCAACGTGCAGAGCCCCACACCTGAGGGAAAACCCCAATACAGTCCTGGCTAAAACTCTGCAATTAATACCTGCCACACCTAGTGCAGAACTGATACAAATGCAATGTCAAAATTATACAACTGAATTCCAAGTGCAAATGTAGTGACAGGCCAGGTTGGGTGTAATTAAATTTCTCCTAACTCTTTTGTTCTTTCTTGTACAGTACATACAGTATTTTACTTCAAATACTTTATTAGTAACATCACTAATATTTAAATATATGTAATGTTTTTTATCCATTCTCCTTTAATATAGGTGCATGTTGAAAACCACAATAAAATGCTAGTTTTCCTAATCAGTGTTAGGAGTCTGGTATATAATTCACACATACTGGCAAAACAGGTAGATGGGAAGCTAACTAAGTTCCTTTCTCTCTCTCTCTCCTAGTACCATTGGTCGAATACAGTACATACTGTACACAATTTAATCTCCAAAATTGTACTTCAACAGGTCTTGAAACATTAATGGAAGATATGTTTTGTTAATATAATATATACTGTACCTAGAATATTAATTCCCAAATACATCACTCTTTTATTTTTAAAACCAAGCTGTTTTTTCCCCACATAGTGCAAGTTTCTAATCAGCACCTCTTCTGCCTTCGGCACCAATCATTTACACGTGGAAAAGGTGAGAGCTCCATCATTTAATCTAATTACTGAGAATTCAACTTGCTAAATGGAAGAGGATCATAATACTAAAATTAATTAAATAAATGTGAAGGAGTTAAGATGGAGACAGTAAAATATTATTTTATTATTTGAAGAATTAAGTTTAAATCCTAGAATGATTATTTTTGTTGTTCACTCATTTCTTGCTTTTTGCCATGTTATGAATATTGGCTCTCTTCTTTTGGCCAAGATTTTCAAAATAATTTTGACATACTGTAATAAAGCCATGTGAAATGAAAATGTGAAAAACTGAAGATGAACCAATTAAGAAACAGGTCAGCCAAAAAAAGACAAGACGCTACAGACCTTGAGGATTCATTTCGACACCACTGGTTCAATTTATTAAAACCATCTATGCCCTTCCAGAAAGAAATCTTCAAGGTTTTGTTCATTAACTTAATCAGCTTCATACTGCTCCTGAGTGTTTTTACAATCAGGTACAATTTGGCAAAGTAGAAGCTAGGAGATACAAGTTAGTGGTGCTTGGTGCACCTTATGGAAAGCAGAAGAGCCAAATTTGCAAAACATCTTCTTGAGTAACTAGTTACATATACAGTAAATAGAACAGACGTCTCTTCACATGCATGGTGGCCAAGCCCATGAAGCACGAATATAAAAAGAGAATTAATAAGTCAAAGTGCTATCATGAGAGCTCACAACCAGGTACTGTAATTTGGAGATGTAGTGTAGGAGCTGCTCTTTGCCGGTCTTACCGGTCTACCACACTTGCTGGTTTGATCTTGTCAATGACGATCACTTGCTTGTTCCTGTGTGTTGTAGTGCTTAAGGTGATTCCAAGTGCTGCTCCTGGAGACTTGGCAATCTCAACCAACAAAGGACCTGAAGCGTTTGTCACAGAATCTATCGAACACAAACAACAACCCCCAAAAACAATAGCATTTGAACATCTTTTTTAAGGAATTGCCCTCTGTGTACAGCAGGGATTTCCATTCTTCTCCTGCTATACAGTAAATGCTAATGGGATCTACCTGTATATATTTTCTTTTGCTGAGTAGGTAATGTCAACATATTTACGTTGGTGTTTTTTAAGGAAAATGATTATTTTCACCAACTAGTATTATTGGAACAGTTGAATAACAACAAGGGTACATTCATTGGTTACTAATATGAATATTAGTGATTTATGGTACAGTATGTATAGGAATGATGGAATGAAGACTTTCTCTGGTCTGCATGCCTGTTGTAAATATCTCACCATGTACCTTAAAAAAGATTCTTCTTCCAACATTGAACAAAGGACCTACAAATATGTCTGCAATGCTGATATAGTTGGAGAAAATGAGTATACAGCATGTTAATTACCGACAAATTTATTCCCATGAAATGCCACAGTGGCAAATTATTTAACATAATAGGATGTGCTGCAGGTTGTAAGACTTTCACTGAATTCTGCTGCTCTTCCTGTTGACTTCAAAGCAATTGGGGGGGAGGCACCACAGTGCATAAAATATTTGAGATCCTCAGAAATAAATTAGAAAAACATTTAGGCAGCCATGAAGTACAGTACCTTACTGTCTCATGACCTGGCATGCTGCTTAATTACACTGCCACAAACTGTACATCTAGTGTTACATTAAGGATCAGAGTTCATTCATTGGAGCGCTTGTTGTGAAAAGTCTTTCAAATTCAGCACAATTCATTTAGAGGAAAAGGGCAGTAGCCTACAGCTCAGCCAGAATGAAAACAAACAGTGATTAAAATCAGGTCAGGGAAACTAATTGATGCTGGCAAGGCGAGATACACTTGATTCTTGACTTTTCAAAATGGCAGAGCAATTTAAGGTCATAGCAACTAAAAAGCAAAAAAAGTGATAGCACACCACCATTTGATTTTTTTTCAGCGCTGAATAGATATTAATTTACAATCACATTGATTATTTTATTTCTTCTATTCAAAGAGACATATTCTGCATTTTTTCCACAAACTACAACAGCAGAAGCATGCAGTTATTGGAAAGATCCATATAAATATCACACCACAGATTTGTGTTTTAGGACCACTGAATCCCAGCTTTCGCAAGAGAAGTCAACAAAAGGAAATGGTCACTAATAGAGAAATTAATCAAATCCACAACAGCATGGGCCTTTTAAATATTAATTAAAACCCCGCAGCTTCAAATAATACTTAGGGCTTTACATTTTGACATTAACACATATTCTACACCGTATAAAAACTTCACATTCCACAGAAAAAAAATCAATTAAAAAAATAGAAAAGCATGGTCTCAGGGACAAAATAAAATAAAAACCAATCTGGTTTATCAAAGTTTCTAAAATATTTTTGCATGTAATTACTGTATATGGCTGAAATGATATAACAGACATATAAATGGAATATGGACTTTGAAACAAATTTGATATATTTTAAACAGTCAGTGTCAGTGAACATGTTTTTCCTGTCAGAATTATCTTTGCATGTGTTTACATATTTTATTAAAGCTACCACTACTTATTACCACTTGCCAAAAAACGCATTTTAAATTCAACACTATACTCTTACTTACTGTAGTTTTAGGATTCAACAAAAAAATAGGAGAAAACCGCACAATCTCTTCTTACCGACAATGGAGACATCGTACTCAATTTGGAAGAGGGCCTCCTGGCCACACTGCTGGAGCACATTTAGGGCATCAGCATGAGACACGTTGTGGAGTGGAACTCCATCGACGCTCAGGAGACGATCACCAGCTTTTAGCGTGCCCTCCCTGTGGAGATCAAGAAACAACTCTATCCCAGCTGCAAGGCCTGTCCTTGATTCCTCTGCTCAACAAGAATCACACAACACTAACCTCTTTTTAATATCTGTCTCACTTTAAAAATGTGGAGGACAAACATTACCAGGAACTGGTTGCAACACACTGTTTAACCAGAAATGCATGCACTACAGAATGAATGTTTCCATCCCAGTTTAAAGAAATTGGGATAAAAACATGATGTACTTGTAATGCTACAGATTTATATGTTACATAAACGGCAAAAGAAAATAATTCTTTAAAATTGACTAAAGCTACATAAAACAGTACTTCATATGGCATTTGCTTGAAAGAATTTGTTACTTGACTCTGTCCTTTAAATGAAGTTTAAATCCAAATTTATCTGATGGGTTGCAGTATAATCCATGCCAGCCTAAGTAATCTGTGTGTGAGGTTTCAGTGGTTTAGACTGGACTACTTAAAGAGAGTGGTAAAGACTAGCACGAAGGCCTCATGCAGAACATTCTCAGCTGTTACTGCAGTAATCCATTGTCACCCTCAACCGTTCTGCATTTGAGACAGAAGGAGATCATTCTTTCCATTATGTTCAAGCTGTCAGATATCAATAATTTAAATTAAAAGGATTTGTTACAGTGCAAGATTAGGCCTCAATATGTGACTGGAAATGCCAAAGAAGTGTCTTGTAGAATGTAATGACACAACTGTAAGTAAGGGTAGTCTTTTTTTCTACTTTTACTGACTTACTTTCTCCGCTTATTCTCATGTGGAAAAATAGGGCTACAGTATATTCTGGGCCAGTGTTTTGCAAAATGACACATACTGTTTTATATACAGTATGCTAGTTAATAAAATACATTTTAATGATTGCATTCAGAATGAAAACTATTGAAACTGGCAAGATTCCTTTTTTTTATGCAGGCCAACGCATTCTTGAGATCCGTGGTGGTTAAGACACTACGTTTCTCAGTTATGTTTACTTGACATTTTTTTTTGCTGAGGGAATCTGAAGAGGTGTCCACTCACATACACACACACGCCATGCTACCTGTCTGCTGGTCCTCCGGGCCTGACATAGGTGACCACCAGGGGCCGGGACTTATGCCAGTCTTCATGAGACCCACCTGCAAGTGCAGAACACATCACTTTGTATCAGTTTCAGGCTCAGTCTTTATGAGGGCAAAGCACTGGTGCTGTACTCTCAAACTAACCTGAAGCTGATGTCAGATATTTTAAGTCTTTCTATTCCGCATGCTGCCTTAACACCATTCAACAACTCCTGTGCTCAGAGACTGTATTGTGGCTAAATTAACTCAGGCCTTTCATGCTATTCATAATATATAAATCACTATCTGAGTCATAGCTAGATGACCTGTAAGGCAGCTCATGTTTTTTAAATAATACTGTAGTGCTTAACTTTTTCTTAAGGTGCTCACACACTGTGACTGTCTTGCATGATAAGGTTAATAATATTTTTAACATTTCTTCTTGGGAGGTCTTGTCTATGATTGTTATTTTTTTTCAATAAAGGTCTTTTGTATTTGCATGCACATTTGTTTGTCAGATGTTTTTTAAATTAATTTAAGATAGTCATTCTTGTGTGTTGTAGCACACATTATTTATAACTGGCAAGTTATCTTTGTGAATCTAATTGGAGCTCATTATTTGTTTCACTTATGTATAGAATATGAAACATTGATCTTTTTCCATCCAAGCGGTAGCTAGCTGATCTATTTATCATCCGAAGGGATTGTTATCAATGCAGATAGCCTCGTTTATCACACAAGGTCTTAGGTAGACACTTATGCAGAAAACCCATATTTGTACCAGAATCTAAAAAATACTGGGAGAAAACTTGAAGACTGAAATACATTTTGTGCATACGTATCTTTATATGAAAGGGCCCTGAATAAATTCTGTGATTTCTGTTTGGGTCAACATGTTCAACACTGTATCATTTGGTTTAAATTCAGTCAAACACAAGGGATCAATAAGGGACACAAGGGACTTTGCTGACCATCTTGTTTGTGTAAAAACACCTTTTCATCATTCACTTTGGTTACTGAATGAGGATAAATGTCTTCCCTTTTCATAGTTTAATATAATAACATATGTCAGACCATTTTAAAAATAGCTATACGTTTCTACTGGGATTCCACAGATTTCCGGGAATATACTCAATGCTTTAATTATAGCAGTTTGTGGTTCTACCTGGAGTTTCATTTTTCTTCTTATAGTATATTAACTACTAATTAATATCACTAGTCAGATTCTACAAGTAGCAACAAAGAAGTAAATGATGACACAATGTAGAAATCAACAAGCATTAAAATACAAGATCATTAGTTTAACAATTGTTAACTTTAATTTGTTCATTTTTGTTCATTTTCATTTTTTGACCACTACTGCAAACTACTGTATACAAATGGTTATTCAAGATATACTGTTTATTATATGCAAAACATATTGTGAACAACTTAATCTAAAGTATTGCTGTGTCAGATATTTATTGTAATCACATTTTCAGATGCACAGAATTGCACGTGGAAGAAATAATACAGAGATTTCAGAAGAGATTTCATACAGGCAACATGATTTAAAAAACTGGAAAACAACTGAGACGTAAAATAAATATTTAAATACATGGAAGGACTTGATATGATCCAAAACAAATTCAAGAAAATATGCTGCATCCAAAGAAATTCTGAACACATCCAGAGGCCCAGGTCGCAGTCTGAGGTACTAACATACAGTAGCAGCTAAGAAGTAATCTGCACACTGAGAGAAGCCTGCCATTGCAAACAATGTAAAAGTTACATTTTCCAACTGACAAGTCTTTTATGGCATTGTGTCACCCTTCATGGGGGAATTATGGGGTGTAACTGTGGCTGTGTCAACAAGCACTTACTGTAGAAAAGAAAAAGAAATGTACAGTACCTCGCATGACAAACCCAAAGCTGTTGCCTTCCTTGTTCAAGCAGATCTCAATTGTCTTGGGTATAACACCTGAACTACTATCAGGAGCTGGGAATGAGAAGAGTGAGGACAAAATATACAGTAGTATCTAGTAAAACAGTATTTTACTAGTCAGTGTTTTATCTAGTCTAACTCAAGACATCACTTTGGTAAATTGTAAAATGTAATAGCTAGTTGAACAGTTTGCCTTCTTCAGTACATCATATGCGCATTGAAATGTTGTTTCTCTTTGTGCTTGATTACCATCATATTTTTAAAGGACTGTAGCAGAAAAGGTTAAGAACCTATTCAGATAGATTCAATACCATGTCTTAAAGAACGTGACCTTTACACTCTGAGTTCTCTTTCAACAGGACTGAGATTAGGCGATGATCAACAAAGTACACTGTAAACAAAAATTATATTTACCTCGATTCCCAAAATATATCTTAAGAATATGTGTGATGTAAAAAATAAAAAAACTTGTATTGCTCAATAAATACTTTTGTGTTTTATTACCTTTTATAAGGTCTTGTTGTACAATGTGAAACATTACCTCAGATATTTTAAGATGGAGCAAGTGTCACAAACTAATTGACAATGAGACTTTACTTGATGTTTCACTTCAAAGAGACATCTTGTTAACATTATCTCTTTTATTTTTTTAAACAGCACATTTTTTAATCAGTTGTAAAGAAATGCAGATCTTCTTGATCAAGAAAGGGTAGACCTGAGCCTAGTAACAGTATATTACTAACAAATAAGGAGAAGCAGGTGTTACTGTATATACATAACAAGTGTACTATGTGAAGAGCTCAACAAATACAGTAGCTTTAAATTTGAAGTAATGTTTCAATAGCAAATTTCTTACAACAAAATATGTCAAAGTTATTTAATAGAAAACAGACATGAAACTTCAATATTTTGCTATAAGTACTGATCATGAATAAATGCAGATTCTGATATACTACGTATGGATGCATGTGAATAAACACACAAGAGCAAAGTGACAGGATGGCAGGAGAAAAAGAACAAAGACAATCTCACATCGATGACAATCTTGGGGCTGAAACTTTGTAGTTCTTGTTGCTGAGACAAAACAAATCATCTTTCACATTATGTCAGTGTGTAGTTATCTTCTTATTTTGTTACAAAACACTATGGTGTTCACCTCCTTTTGACTGGACAGCAGCAAATGATCTGAATGAATTACAGATTCCTGGGACTGATGGCAAAGGAATGAGGAAGGGATTTTCCTTAATAGAACAGAATGTGCACTGACTGCTGGTGCATGTGGTTTAAATATAGACCAGGTTGATGTGACTTGGTATTATTTATCTTGCTGGAACTGGGTACGCCTTAGTGTCCACTGAGAAAGTGTCTATAGACGTTACCTGCTTTACTAATGCTATGACTATGCAGACATGGGTGAGACAATATCCAATATTCAGAGTGTCCACAATCTGGACACTGTGTAGACTGTTCCAGCAGCCATGGCACTATACTGGAGAACCACACAAGCTCCTCCAGGAGGAAACATGAAGGAATGTTCAGCAGCTGAAGGCTCTTCTGCTACAGGAATGCAATAGGATTTTTTAGGACTTCGTGCAATACTGTACTCAGTTAATGAGAGCAAATGCTCAAGGAAAAAACACAGTTCCAAAACTAATATACAGAAACTTCATAATCAGAAAATTGAAGTTGTAATTGCAATTTTTTAAAAACATTTTTATGAATTTAAGCAAATTCCAACCATCCAAATCAAATCATGGCTCATAATTAAAGGTGAATGGAGTTTGTACCTAAGATTAGTTACACAAATAAAGAGAGACATGTACAATTTTACGCTGTCCAACATGTTCTACAGTGATTGTATAAAGATCAGAGCACTGTACAGAGTAGACAGATCTAACTTTGATGTTGCCATTTCATCTGTCAGCTCTACAGTCCTGAGCTATCACTTTGAGAAAGGCCACAGAGCAGGCTGCCAAGTGCAATAAATCCCTGTGAAAGGCCAGGCATGAGGGTGCATGAGGGTGTTTTAAAATACCAGCTAGAGCATAAAGGTTTCATGAGAGAATAATGGCTCTACAGCAGGGGTCGGCAAACTACGGCCCGCGGGCCAAATTCGTCCCACGTAACTTTTCTGAGTGGCCCGTAGCTCACTACTGTTTGAATCTCGAGGGTAACTTTCTGCATCAGATATTGAAAACCTTCTACCAATGGCCTCTACTTGTTAGCTCTGCTGCTCTCTCTCAGCATTTACGGTCAATTGCAGAACAACACCTACTGCACTGTATTACACAATGCATTTTTTAGCCTATCAGACGTCAGCTTTAGCCTAGTTTACATACACCTAAGCTACAACTGATTTTTGCCGTAAATTCAATTGGATTTTTGTTGCCTACTGTGATTGGCTCACCCAAGCAAATGATGTCTAATGTATGCTATCTTGTTTGAAAGCTCGTCTGAAAGATTTCAAATGGTTCTAAAAGTTATAACTGACAAGAGGCTAACTTTAAGCTATTCCTGCCATGTCGAAAAAAAGAAAGATCGATGCAGAGGGTCGAAAATTCAACGACAAATGGTCAGAAGAGTACTTTTGTGTCCCTTGGAAAGAAAAGGTAATGTACAGTATCTTATCTGGAAACAATTGCCGTGATTAAAGAATACAACATAAAAAGGAATTACGAGACAAAACATCCGGCTAAATTTTCAGAATACACAGGAGATGGATGGAGGGAAAAATTAGAACAGTTGAAAAAGTGGTTTCAGGGGCGGCAAAAACTGATCAAGAGAAAATGTTGTGGCTACCTGAGCTAGTTATCGAGTATCTTAGCTTCACGCAGCAGCTGTCAAACCCTTCACGAATGGGAAGTTTATTCAGCAGTGTATGCAAGAGGTCGCGGAGGAGATGTGCTCGGGGAAACGCGATTTATTCAAGTCAGTGCGTTTATCGGCTAGATAGAGGATTTCACTCAGGTAGCTCAGCAAGGTTAGCAAAATGTTTCAGTGGCCCTTGCTCTAAAAGGTTTGCCGACCCCTGCTCTACAGCATGTTATTTGAAAGCACAGATAGTACTCAACTTCCTACCAGCAGGGGGCAGCTCATATTCCACTTCAAGCACCACTCGTTCGCCCACATTTTTCAGCAGACTGATGATCTCGTCATGCCGAAGCTTAGTCAGGTTGATCCCGTTCACAGACTTGATGTAGTCTCCCACATTCAGCTGGTCACTCCTGGAACCATGGAAACCACATTGACAAACAGAAAGCAGATAAGAACTTTTCTCCAAGTGGCACAGTTTCAGAAAAGGGGAACTAGACTTAGATTAAAGGGAATGGATTGATTAAAAGCCTCTGAAATAGCATTTGTAAAGTGTGGTGGCTCAAGTAATTAAAGTGTTAAAATAAATAAAAGTAATAGTACAGTATCTCCTAAAAGTTGGTTCTTTGAAAAAATGAAAAAAATATAAATGAGGCCTAGTAAATTAAGATGTAAGATAGAAAGAAGTGCTTCTTTAATCAGTTATACTGTGCCTTGGAACACTTGAATCTCATTTGAAATGGTAAACTGGGAATACTGTATTTCAGACAAGAATTTGAACAAGATGTTTCAATATACAAGTGTGTGTACTAGTTTAGACTGAATTAAGGTGAGAAAGTGCATTCAAATATAAATTCCAATGTGTTCCTTCTCACAACCATTACAGTAAAGTTTGGTTTTTACTTTACATTAAAGAAAGGTTTTATATAGTACTGTATGTACATACTGAACAGTATATACAGTGCTCAGATATTTGGTATTTTTCAGAAAGCATGGAATTTAAATATATCTTTTGCAAACATAGTTAGTCCTTTAAAGAAATGCTGTTCATACCATTGTGCTACTTGAGAAGTAGTTTGGTAGCCCAGAAAAAGCAAGAACTGTTAATCTCTAATGTAGAATTCTACAAGGAATCAACATATGCTCATTAAGATGCTAATTACAGAATTGCACAGTGTTTATTCTTATTCTCCTCTAGGGCTCTGGAAGTTGGCAAAGTGAAGTCTGTCGAAAATAGTTTATCAGGCTGACATTAACGCGGCATGCATTTTTCTTTACAATTTGTGTGCATGTCAGGATAAACAGCAGATCCGCTGGTGCAGGCAGTCATTTTCACAGACATCTCTAGTACAGAATGTTAAAGCCATTGTTCACTATTATCATTACAGTGTAGTCAATCTGTAGTATTAGTATTACTGTGGCTGATCATTGGCTCTATAGAAAATGATGGAAAATGTGAAATAATGAGTTTTGCAGGATAACTAAAACCATTTTAACAGGGTAAAACAGACTGCTTTTTTTAATGAACATTTTTTTCCTGAATAGATGAACAACAAACTGGTTATAAATAATTACAATACATGCTCATTTTTGTTTTCCCTAGGCCATAGTTTTCCCTAGGCCATAAACCTCAGCCCCGCATTATGAACATTACGACTTTGTTGGGTCAGTCACATCTTCTAAGCATACAGTATGCCCACCAAGAGAACAGACACAGTGCTTCAGAAACATCCACAAAGCTAACATGAACAATTGCAACACTGGCTGAATAATGCAAGACGATTGCCATGAATCCCCTTAGATCTTTCTGCAAGGATCTCGGACCATGATTGTTGGCGTAACAATGGGAAAAGTGGGAAAAGCAGAAAGAGGGAGGCATGGACCAGAACATCCACAGTACACTCACTCATTCTACCTGGGAACACATGTCTAAACTGCAGCAGAACCTACCTCCAACAGGCCTCATCGGGCATCTTCATGCCCAGAGCTAAGATAATCATCCCTGACTGCAAAGGGAAACTGACACCGAAAGAGATATTTACAAATCCCCTGTGCCGTATAATGTGGTGTTCCTTTTGTTCTACTTCATGCTTGGTGTAGTGCCACATACAGTACATATCACTTGTATATCTAGGCTGCTATTTTTAATACAGCGGGGTGGTCTTTTGTTCTAAGTTGACACTGGGTGAGAGAGTCGGCCTCGCAGTTCTTAACCAGGCAAGGGACTCTTGTAAAGAGTCTTTGTACAGCTTAGGGCCTCATCAAAATGACTCTGTAAGCCTTCGCTTCAGCTTCATCATGCTCACAGCTGCAGGTGGAAATCAGGCTTTGTGTTCTGCTGCTGCACATCAAGCCTGCTCCCCTGAGGTAATGTAAGGCGTTGAAAACCTAAACAAGTGTGGCTTCTCTCTACTGCCACTTGAATGTTTATTTTAAAAAATATTCTTCTGTTCCTTAAAACCTTTACCAAAAAAATGTATGTAAAGATGGAGCTTTCTTATGTTAACAGTGATAAAAGCAAATATCTGAGGAATCTTTTGGAATTGACCTGTAACAGAATCCGATAAAGAACTATTCTTGGTTTTCCCTAAAACCAAAATTACACCAACGTTTTGAAACATTCTTCACAGCACCAAGATTAACAACAACCAAGTAAATACTATTTTAAAACGCAAAGGATTCAAATAGTAATACAAAGATTTTTGTCATATTAAATATCTTTAGTAATTTCCCAAGATCCACAAATTGTTCAATATGAATAAACTGTATTCCAAAAAATAACAGTATTCTGGAGCATAATTTTAAAATATCTCACATAATATTAAAAATCGCATAATTTGTTCAAAATTGCCCTCAAGAGTGCATGTTTGAAAAATTATCCAATCATATTAACCTGCTGATATTTAGATTTCAAAGTTAATATTTAAATACTAAATATTACAGTATGAAGTCTTTAAATTCAGGCTTATCTTCTGTTTTCACGCCTTACAGAGCTTATAGGAACTGTGGCTAAAACATGCATATCTGTCTATACAAGGTATATATTATTATAATAAGTTAGGCTGATGTTAAATCAGGATGGAATATTTATTAATCACAACGTACACTTATCAGCAAGTACAGAAAATCGTTGCTCTGTTGTTTTGCTCCATAATTTGTTTAGACAGCACAGGATAGCATGCAAAGAAGTCTGTCCAATTGCTTTTTTATGTATTTCAAAGAAAAGAACTGGTCATCAACAGGCAGATCGCAGGAATCACACAATACAGAAGTTACACTCAGTCAGTGCATCCTTGAGATCTCACCTTGCAGCCAGCCCGCCGGGTCTCAGATTCGACACTCTTGGCTTTCCATCTTTATCTGTCCCCCCAGAGATAGTCAGCCCCAGAGTGCTGCCTTCCTTCTTTATCAGCTCCACAATTGTGACTCCCCGAAACTCTTCTGCCAAAACACAAACAGACAAAGCAGGAAGGTCAGCATCAGGCTCGATCAATGAGCCTTGGCGCTTAGAGGCAAATATTTATAAACCAAGAAGCTTGAGTTCCTTAGTAGGAGCCAGAAGTATGCAGCAGCCCAAGCTTACTGTATACAGTAATACCATGTTCGATAAGGAATTGTGCGCCTGAAACCAATTACAATACAAATGTTGGGAACTTCCCCCAAAAAGACACACATATTTGTTTCAGAAGTGAGTGAGGAAGATGTGCTTGACAGAGACAAATGGAGAAGAGCAACCAAAGCAGCTGACCCCAGGACAGCCTGGGACTAAGGCTGTGAAAAAGAAGAAGAAGAAGAAGAAGAAGTAGACTATGATTAGTTGACAGCTGTTACATTTAGTTTGACCCCCACAATAAGGGGAGGTAATGGTTCAGGAGAATTACTAAAAGCATGTTCAGACACAGCTGACCTATTGTGAGGTCAAGTCACACAGAGAGACTGCTGATCCGTAACCGGATTCTGTAATGAGCAAAACAATCAAAATGAGAAAAAGGAATGAACTCGTTTAGTAAAGCAAAACCTGACAATTACAAAAAACAATAAACTACTGTATATCGTAGACCATGAGTCAACACAAATCCAGTATTTGAAAGCCTGTTGTCTACTTATTGAAAGCCCTATTTGTATGGTTAAGGAACATTTACAAAATCGGTGACTGCATCAAAATTGGTTGAAATACAAAATAATTTAAAAAAAGAAGAACACATTGTAAATATAATCACATCAGTCCATCTGTTAAGGTAAAGTATGGTTGAACCACTGATAGCTAGATAGACGCGAGATCGATCATTGTCAGCATGGGGAACATCCAAGGCAAGACAAGTAAAGCATTAAAAGATGGGTTCCATTTTCCTTCCATTTTCCACAAAGAGATATGAAAAGTAAAATTACTGAGAAACAGTTCAGTTTCACTCTTTCAAATCAGATTTTACTGAAATGCCAGGAGTTCATGAGACATATTCTTGTAAAAATCTATCACAAATTGACTTATTTTTCTAAGGTGTATGTGCAAGAAGAAACAATTCAGAGTTTTAGTCTTTTCCTGACTGAAAACAGTTTCTAATTACCAGGTTCTGTATTTTGCATGCTTCCTCCATGTAGCCATTTTACCGTAAGGCTGTAAACAGATGTTAAGCTGTTAAGGTAAAACAAAATACCACAGTGCTATTGTGACACAAGATTTAACAAGATTTCTGGTTTCTACTTTGTGTTCCTATTAAAATTCTCTTCTTGAAAATTCCATCTGGTGATCACCATGTTTAAAGGATAAAAAGCTAAATGTAGTGGAAAATTAGTTAGATGCACAGCATTGAATTTGATTAACAGGATCACTGACAAGCAATTAACTGGTTAAGAAATTATGTGGACACATTATTTCTGAGCATGACTATCACCAATGAAACTCATTATTGCTACTGAACACAGCACTGAATTTTGATTTTAGAAACTTCTGGAGTTCAAATAAAAAAAAAAAACTATGTGAATCTAATAAAAGTGTAAATGCTGAAAGACTGATAAATGCTCCAAAAAGTACATGTACACGTACATGTTTAGAATTAAATTCCTCTCCATATTATTGCATACCTATTCCCACTGCAAGAGAAAGGGAAAGGAATTCTGTAGCTAAAAGTTGACTCATATAACAACATGCTATTTTTAGATGTGTGGAGCTCATAGGGAGACATTGGTTTGTGAGGTCAAACAGAGCTACAATTTAAATACTGAAAAGACAAAACTGCCTCAGGCCAATGCTGTTCAACCCAACACTACAAAAGGAGAAACAAAAAAAATGAAATTAAAACGGGAACAGTACTTGAACACATACTGTACACTGCATTTCTGGCTGAAGAATTTATTGCAATAATTTACAGTATATATTTGATAAATATATCATGTTATTTTGTACATCAGTCATGCTCATATTAAAAAAATATCATGTAAATGCCATATAAATTCCAGTGTTAAGACTGCATAACAGATCTTTAGAAATGGACAGTGTCTAATTAGTATGTTGCATTCCTTCCCGAAATGAGTACAGACACTATCCCTCTCTGTGACCAAATCATATGCCCAAATAAGCTATCATGACTTTTGAGAGATTCACTTCCTAGCTGGGTCATAACTGGTTCATCAGACAGGTTTAAGCTTTGTTAAAAGAGATGAGGTCAGGATCTTTAGAAGCATAACTAAAGTGAAATTAATTTGGTCTGTATGAATGCTGGTCCTATGAGGCAAATTATATAGTATGAACCAAGCTTAATACTGAACACATCTTTGGAAAGTGGAGAGACAAAACAAAGAAAATATACTGTCCAGTATTTCACTGCACAGTCCCTGTAAGGAGAGTTTTAAAATACAAAGAATAAAATGACTTTTTCTCTGTCACTTGCCTCACTTCACTAAGGTTTTCATCAGTACAGTACATCAGCATTTATGCAAAAAGAAAAGAAAGAAAACACAATGTTTGAACAAGTTGTGTTTTCTTTCTTTCTTTCTTTTCAGCATGGAATAAACCTATTACTTGTTCCTTTGCAGCCTACGCATGCTGACGCAACTACCCACCTGAACTACTTTATGCAACATTGTTGGGCAGAATACAGATGTACCTAATAAATCTATATACAATAGAAACTATTCAGTACTATTGTAATACTATACAATGATATAACTTACAGTATATCAGTTTTCTCCTGTTAGAGATGTGACCTGCTAAATACTTCTTTACATGATAATGGCTTGTTGAATACATTATTTTTTATGGGACTCGAGCTCTGAACATGTCTGAAGCAAAATCCTTTCCAGTGGAAAAGGCAATTAGGACATACATAAAATAATGAACAGTACCAAAAGGCAGGTGATAATAACATTTACTGTTTCTAGTAGTGACTAATTAAATGCTTCAAGTGGAATCCCTGATAGGGAAAAGCTTTCAAAACTATTAAAACCCGAAAGCAATACCATAAAACTAATGATTCAAGACCGTTTAAAAGGTTCAGATTTGTATCTTTGGGAAGACTCACATTTTGGTTTTTGCATGCTGAGTTTATGTTCTTAACCCATTACTCACCAGAGAAAAGTGAATTTAAGGTTTAACAGCTGAGGGCAAAGCAAGTTTAAACGGATGAGTTAAATTTCCAGCTGTTATATTTGTGCTTAGTCACATGGCAATTATATTCTGACATGAGCATCTAAAAATATCTTCTTTCTACATTTTAATGTTCTCTTCCATTTACTTTGTATAAATACTTCTAATTAATTTCTCTATTAAATGCTTTATTCCTGAAGCTAAAAGGTTTTATAATATTGTGTCTAAACTGCACATGCAACAATGTTGGCATTTTCGGCTTCATTTCTATTGCCTTTAAAAATATAATGCTCACTTGATGACTGTATAATAATACATGCTGTACATATATATAAGAACATAATAATATACATTAAAAATAAACATTATTTCATTATTTTAAAGGTAAAACCATAAAATGCAGGTTTCTGGAACACAGGTTACAGTACAGTATGTCAACCGTGTTAAACAGCCTCATTCATGTACAGTACATCAATTCAATTCTATGAACCATACTCATAAACCTCTCATCACCCCAGCGAGTTTACACTGCTCTTGTTTGCGTTTTTTGAGAAACCTTAGAGAACTCTTTCAGCATAATTCCAGTTTCTTTATTAGCCTGTTTGAACATTTCTCACAAGCAGTGGCAACACTGTTACTGTAAAAAGCACTAAATGAGTGCACCCAGATCTGCACTAAAGTCCTTTCAATTTACATATCAAAAGAATTTACAAGTGATTTTCAAGCAAAACAGATGCAGTACACGCACAGTTACACTGCCTTTTTTGCTCTCACAACATTTAAGTAGTAGTACTTTACAGCTTGATCCTCATTTGCAAATGTTAAAACATTTTTCTGTGAGAAATATGCTAGCACTTTCTTTTGTGATAAATTGTACAGCCACAAAAGAAACATCCTAGGAATGTGTGAGCAAATATTAAAATAACATTTTAAATAAAACTTCAATAAACAATTTTCTGTTCTTAAAACATCCAAATCCACTATTTTCAGAATCTGGTGTCTGTTAGTGTGTTTGTTGCTTGTGGAACAGAATTATGTGTATTAAAAACATTGGCATTTTGGGTGTAATGGTGGGTGTAATATCTTAGTTGTTTTCAAAATGTATCAATATTTAAAAAATACATATTGGACTCTCAGGTGGTGCTTTTTTTATTAGGATCCAAGCATCATCATATGAACAAACACATTTTCAACAGCATTTGTTGACTTTTTCATTCTTTTACTGCTACTGTACATTGTAGCAGATGTAAACTCATATTATTCAATTGCCATTTGTTACCTTAAAGGTATACTACTTATAACTGCATTCTTTTTTAACACGAGTTATTAGTTATATATATTGTATGCATCTATATACAGATGCAGCCATTCAAAATGCACAGTACAACCCTGTACCGCGCGCAATTACCCACAGTCCACCACGGTATACCGTGGCACGTAATTTGGCTGGCCAAAATGACCAACAGGGGCACTCATGGTGCATTGGTTGTTAGTGAAACGATTTAATCATTTAATCTCTTTACTGTGCATGTTTTAATCCGCTTAGTATTGAATATTTATATGGAATTCTACAACTAAAGGGAAATTTTAGTAGCTGAGCATAAAAAGATGAGGAGCATAACGCATCTGAAGGTCATAAACAATATTAATTTAGGAACATAAACATATTATGTAAACTGGTATTGGTAATTTAAATAAAAAATACACACCAGTATTCCACTTTCTTCCTAAACATTTTAAGCATCAAAGTCTTTCATTCGGTTACATACTCTCTCTAAATATCCTTGCAACTCCAAAACTGTTTCTGGTGTATGAAACCATATGCAACACGAAGAGAACCCCAGAAAATCTTAATGTTTTCTTACTTGTATCCTGTATCAGTACTTAAGCCTATTTTATGAATATTCTCAATAAAACATATGCAGGTAATTATGACCTACCTGGATCATAGTTAACAAAAAGGTTTCCAGTTTATTTACAGCAACCGGACACAAAGCAAAGTATGCTAAAAGAGAAGCTTAAAGGATTTTACATGGTACAGTACATGATGGCAATGAATTGAGCACAAAAAAAAGCTAACTCACAAGAGAAATACAGGTAATACAAATTAATTACTCCTGATTAACAAAACAAACAGCCACATTCAAAAGATGTGGACATAGACCACACAAATATATTTTTGCTCCTCCAAAAATGAAAAGGCATACAGTATATGCAGTGTAATGTAGTTCACACACAGTTATAAAATAATTATATTAAGATTGCCTTTGCAGATTTAAGGATTTTATGGTTTATAGTTGCATGGTAGTAGTATCTTTCAAGTAAAAAAGACAAATACTTGAGGAGACAGTAAATGAACATTCAGATGCTGCATAACCAATCCAAGAGCAACTGGCAAAGACTATGAACTTCAACACAAGGCTACATGTTATATCAAATGCTATCTGGCACACCCAAGAGAAATTCAAGTTACACACACTACTACAATTGAACTGTACACGAATTCAATGCAGATGACACTTGAATTCACTTCAGGGATAGTACATAGAATGAGGGAACCTATCAAGTAAAAGCCTGCAGGTACAATAAATATATGCAACGAGCTACATAAGTGGCAAAATGCACATGATACCACAGCCATGAATCTACAGTTTCAGGTCACAATATTGCCCTGTTCCTCATACTTCCCAAGCTGTCTAAGTGCAATGCTGTAAAGCAGATCCCAGCTGGAGAAAGAGACTAACCAGAGAGAAATAATATCTTATTGTACCTGGGATACTCTGTCTTCTGGAAGCCAGGGAATTGTCTGTCCCTGCAGGGTCCTTGTTCCCCTTTGAGTAAGGGCCATCATCTGCAAATCGGAAGGAAAGATTAGAATTACACGCCCATGGAGCAGGGGCGTGCAACAGGCGCAGGTATTCAAGGGAAAAACCTTCACCTGGTGGCACTGGCCCTGTTTTAGTGGACTTCCTGCCTGAGCCAAAGGAAAATACAAAAAAATGAAAAAAAAATCAAATCAGTTATTATTTGGGAAGTAGAAATTGTTAAGCATTGTGTATCACCAAGGTCCTGACAGTGACAGATGTAATTCATAGCTGATATTAAGGGTCTGCCAGAAGCTTTGGTCATGTGGATTCCAAATTTAAAAACGAAATCTAAAATACAGTAAATGTTCTTTTGCCCCTTCCATATTCTAACCATATCTATGAAACTGATTTGCTCAGAAAATGGTTTTGATTAAGCCTAGCTTTGTTTTTAACTTGTATATACTGTGCAGTATGAGTTAGGATCACGACTGCTCGTCAACATCTATTCTAAAGTACTTGGCCTTCAATTTCAATATTTCTGATCTAATTGCCGCTGGGTTACAGCAAGACGCAGTATCTTGCGGTCCTTGGTTTCATTAACTGCACAGATGTGCAAAGAAAGTGCAGTATAAGCAAAATCTCCCTTTTACACCATATTCTGGGAACATCAGAGTTTGAATCAGAGCTAAAATCAGATGATCTACTCATACACAGTGTAAAAATTCTAATATTCCAAAAATGCTCAAATTGCTGTGTGGGGGGGAACTGCTGATTTACTGTACAAAATGTTTCAGGTCAGGCGTTGGAAACATAATTGTTATTACACAAGTGGTCAGATAATGGTTTTTTTTTGTTAACTTTTTCATTAATTTTTTGTTTTCATGGCAAGAATTACTGACTATATTTCTCCTTCCTAACTGAAACTCCTACGATTTGAACAGATGTTCAAACGGAATGAATTCCTTCTTGGTAAAGTTTGCAATGGAAGTGTGAAAAAAGTTATTCACACTTTGGCTCTTTTTAGCACGCTGACAAAGACGATAATGCATGCATGAAGCCATGTGTAAGGTGGCAGACATGAGTGAAAAAAAAAAGTTTGGTTCTAAAACAGAACATTTTTAAAGGGAAGTAAGCAACAGCCCCTTTATTTCCTACATTTTGTATGCGGAAAAGAAAATGCTTTATGCCAGAACAGTTTATTCTACTTCCAAAATCCAGGAAAATTCTGTTTCCAGAATTAATACAAAAGATTCTACATACATGGCTTTACAGTATACAGTATGTATCATTGGCATTCAACTCAACATTTTCACAGAACAGAAAAGTGCCCTGAGGCTGTTTATCTGTTTATGATATAAGGGAGAAAAAATATTTGTGTTTTGTTTCACAGTATTTCTACAATATTCATGCAAGAAATGTGTGGAGCCTAACATCTCCAATAAGTTTCATGGCATATCTGGAATCAAATTTTACTAATTTCATTCATTGTGGTTATGTGGAAACTCCCCTGTATCTTTCCTGAAATGCTTCCATACCTTCTGAGACCCCTGCTGATGACTTTACTAGCATTCCTGCCACAGCACCCTCTGTGAAGATTGCTAAGGTTTAAAGCAGCTGAGGTCCATTTTCACAAGTGCCATTGAAAAAGATGTTCAGATTTTGCCAAGAGCTGAGAGTGCATGAAGACAACGCTGTCTTCTGAAACTTCCGAAAGTCATGCCTTGCCATGCCAGCAGTGTAACCAGTTTCTGGCAGTGGGGTGACAAGCATGACATCACAGCCTATAAACAGCATTTGTCACTGAGTCTTAGTAGCGTCTGAGTGCGCTGTTTGAATGTCTGCTCCCACCTGCTCTGCAACTGCCAAGGGTCTTCACTTTGAGGGGTCCATTAAATTTAAATCCAAATCCATCTAACACACTGCTTTCTCACAACACGTGTCATTATCAAAACCAACACACCACACTGAATTAGAATGAGGGTTTCAAAAGAAAATGGCTTGGGCTTTTTGCAGATTTAGAAAAGTGCATTAGGAAAACTACCAATCAACATTCACAAAATACAGACGTCCTTACATATCATCTCAGGCACAGAGAAATCTTGGATTAACTAGAAACAATAGTTTCAATTATATTTCAATTTAACAAAAACTAAAGTTTACATAAAGTTAACTACACTTTTAACAACTAACAACACTTGGAGCATCAAAGTTGAAAATTACAGTTACAATGTTAAATTAAATGAGATCCATTTAAGAGAGCTCATTACAAAAACTGGTCTAAAAAGGCTTAAAATAGAATTTCGTGAAGGAGAGAAAGCTATGATAAATTGCAGGTGAAGCAGTAGAAAACACAGCACCAGAAAGCAGCAGAAAATTCATGGGCATCTTTCATTTGCAGATCCATGAAAGGTATTACTGACACAGCGTAATGGACAGATTACCACATTCCCAGACCTGAAGGCAACTTGAGCATGTCAGCATCTGCTGTGATGGGATTTTGTCTTGCACTGCCTTAATCCCATTGGTGGGGGGCTTAAGTCTTTCCTTCACCTATCAAAGGAAGGGATTTAATCATGACTCTACCTACTGTAACTGCGAAAGAACGGAGTCATCTTTTTCCTCTCGTCCATCTTTAAATTATCAAAGGCTTGCTTTTCATACAGAGCAGGAAGCATATGACACAAAACAGCTGCCAGCTTTCAATCATTTCAAAAGCTAAAAAAAACAAGGCCTGTCTATAATCTTGTGGAATCCATGTGAAGACTTTCACCAGGAGCTTAGAGTACTTATGGTCCATTTACATACTCACATAAACACTTTGTACACTGATTTCTCATACAGTACTTAAATTGTTTTAAAAAAAACTCAAAAACACATACTGATCGCATTTTTCAAAACACGTCCAGTCCCAGCAAAGAAAAAAAAAACAATCAATGATGATTATTTCAATGTTTTTCACAATATTAATTATGACAATATCCTAGGGAATTAAAATATTATCTTTAGACAAAGTACTGAGAAATTTAGGGAGATTACCATGTTTATTGCAGATTAGGGAGATTTACCACACAAGCAAAACCTGGCTAACCTTTTTCATACTGTATAAAATGATCTTATATACAAGGAGAGTGTAATTGTCTGTATTTTTTTAAAAAGAACACAGGAAAATGTGGGTGATTCAAGCCTGAAGATTCATAGTCTTAAATGTAGGTTACAAATATAATTGGTGTAGTTTTTAATGCGTCTATCCTATTGAGGAATATCAGTTCACCGGAAGCTAATTTCTCCTAATTTATCTTATCATGGAAATGAGTGTAAACCAAAAAACTGAATTTGAGTTGTGTGGGAATATTGTATGAAGAGTTCTGATTATGAAGTTATTACACAAAAAAATCCATATGAGTCTCCCTGGCAATTGTGTGGTGTACAGATATAAAATATTCAGTACAGTGTGGAGATACTGTATACAGTAACTTTGACATCAGAATGACTCCTACTACAAACTCATGACAGTACATCAACAGCATCAAAAAAGACCATCTCATCAGGGCAAAGAACAACTAATTTATAAGAAGATCCCATATGACTGCCCCAAGAGGTGCCAGATGAAGTTGTACTTTACCAAGAGTGTTAAAAGATATGTGCCAGTGTCTCCAATATTAAATGAAAGTATGACCTTGATAGATGAAAAGAGATGGATAAGCAGGCTTGCTTAAAAGAGTAATCAGACCACCTCTTACATCTCAATAAACCTTTCTTTAACCAGACAAGTCAATTGAAGGCAAAACCACATTTACAATAACACATGAAAGAGTACCAATTTACACAGCAGAGCATTCTAATGGAGCAATCTTTGTGAAGTACCCTAGTTCCAGAGCCCTAACCAATACTCCACACTGCTTGCAGGAACATGATTAAAAAACAGATAAAGATTAAAGTGATACAATTTTTCTTGAGGGAGGAAACATAGAGGGCATGAGAATCTAGGCCAACAGGTACAGGGTATGTGACTGGAATTGCATTTATTTCTGTGTGTGACTGTGAGCCCAAAGTTAAGTTTTCAAAGTTTAGGCAATTTTGACAAGCAGGTCTTTTTCAGTTGATTATTTTATTTAAAAGGCTTAGATTGCCCAGTTTTCTTCCGCATTTTCAATTATATATGCAGAGCTATTCAGAGCTCCCAGAGCAAGAAATGCTTTATTTTTCTAATTTCTTATTTATACAGCATTGGCTAAGAAGTATATATTTGAACACTTACCCCTAATACATAGTGTATTCATCTAGTTGCCAAAATAAATATCCTGTAACTGTACTTTCATGTCTTCTGTTCTAAATCATTTTGTAAAACAAATTCATCCCTCTTAATGACACATACTAACTAAAAAGAAATAAAGTTCACTTTGGTCTCCTTTCTCGAACTGAGAAAGTTCAGAGCTACAAAATTAACCTTTCCATTTTGCCACACTAGCAACTTTTAAGATTTGGTTAACATTTTATCCCAAAGCAACATATAGTAACAACAAAATATAAACTCATTGTCATTAACAGTTTACCTACATGCACTGATGTAAATGGTACAATGTACAAATGTATTAATCTTCAATTAACTGTGCTATAAAATGATCTTCCCATCTTACTCTGTATGCCATTTGCACTTGTAAAAGATCTCAAATGCAAAGCATTTTATTACACAGTGTTAACCTTAATTAATTAGATTCTGTAATGAATCATACAATTATAAGAATAAGTCTTTTTTACAAAGCCTGGCAATATACAGTGAGCAGTTTTCTACAGACAGAAATTCTTCTTCTGACACCCACAAAAATGGACATAAGACAAGGGCAGTGTTTAGGCCATTTCTCTTAAAATTTCTGATGGACACTACGTACTGTAAGTCCTGAAACCAAAGACACAAAATAAAATGAGTTCCCATCATAGAAACAGCCTCCTAATATGTTACAGTATGTGCTTTATTTTTCTGCAGGATGTCTGCAGTGCAAACTACAACTTTAGTGCTCTAGGCCTTGACATGGAGGTGAATGGA